TGCGGGAAACCTGGGTTCGATTCCTGGGTTGGGAAGATCCCCTGGAGAAGAGAAAGGCTACGCACTCCAGTGTTCTGGCCTGGAGAATTCCATGGACTGTATAGTCCACGGGGTCGCAGAGAGTCGGACACGACTGAGCGACTTTCACTTTTACTTCACTTCTTTACTTCTGTGCAAGTGCAGTACTTCCGAGTCACAGTAGAATGAAGACGTCATCTTTAACCACAAGTGGGATTTTTGCTTTTTTGTCACTTGGGTTTAATTAGTGCATCCTTTGTTACCGTCTTTTACATCCCCAGTGCATATAGTGTGGTAGCTACTCAAATACAGAGATTAAAGATTTTCAGAGGACTGTGGGGAGAACTTCACTGGTCCACCCCCTTGTGATGCTGACTCAAGGTTTCGGTAGGTTTCCGCTTCCACTGGCGTCTCCCAGAGAAGCGCACTGGGAACCTGCCTCAGAAGCTGACAGTTGTAAGTAGACGGTGCTGGCGGCCATAAAAGGCCTTTGAAAACCATGTTTGCGACGGGTTTTCACAGCAGGCTGTTTTCTGGCATAGAATTGTCTTACTTATAATGCTTACGTGGTCGGATACAGGGTGGTTTGTTTGAGTTCATAAAGCAGTTATCTGCGGCGTGTGTTCTCTGTGGGGTGTGTGTGTTGGGCTTGGTTTTCTAGACCAGAGAACTTGTATGAACTCTGAGATCTTCCCCTGAAAGGTGACTTTTCCCGCGTTCAGTGAGCTTGCTCCAGCTCGGCTCTGGTGATGTCAGGAGAACAGTAGTTGGCTCACACTGAGAAGGCGTGCACTGGGATGTGTTAGAGACGGTGCCTTTGCTTTCAGACAAGGAGCTGTACCAGAATCATTGGATCACGCAGACCCGTGAGGCGTGTGCCTTGAATCGTGCTCCTGGGTGAGGACAGCCGGGTCGGAGGTCAGCACTCAGGACGGCCCAGGCTCGCCCCAAATGAGCGGATTCGGTCCAGAGCGCCACCATGAGGCCAGGCTCACCACTTTGTTTGGTTTCTGGTTGCAAATAACAGTCACGTTCACATAGTCCTATAGTCTGTTACGTGTGCAGTAGCATTATGTCTGAAAAAAGAGTGTACCTGCCTCCACTGCAAAACACTTCAGTGCCAAGAAATGCCAGCCGTCCATTGTGTGGCCCTCCCGGGGAGCCTCACCCCTTCTGTTTTTACAAAGCCAGTGCCCGCGGAGCGCTGCGCGGCGTGGCGAGGCGCCCCGTGGCAGGTTTTGCCACAGGGACCCGGGGAGGGGGCGCCTGCCCCAGGAGGGGTGGGCGAAGGTCCACTCCAGACGGTGCTGAGCCTTCGGGAGTATCTGTCGTATAGAAGTTACAGGTAATGAAACGCATATAGTTTTAAAAAGTATTTTTCAGTACTGATTTAAAAAATAGTTCAAGAAGTAGTTTATACAAGTTCAAAAAATAGTATTTATATAAGTACGATTCCAAAAAACCCCATAATCAGGTATTTCGTCCATTCTCTACCTAAATGTTACTGCTGTTTTTAACAGCGTGAGTCAAACGGCCATCATCTGACCGATGGCTTTATGCACGGTAATGTTTGTGCTTTGGAGGCAGCAGCCTTGGGACTAAGGTGTGTGTATGAGATAAAGTCGTGGCCCTGTGAACGAGGGAGTTGGAAAGGTGACCGCCTGTTGGCAGGTAGCATTGATGGGCTGCAGGCTGGGACCTGGTTTTCCTAGAAATGCTGGAAGTGGTGAGAAGAACATGAACAGAGCCTGGTTCTTAGTCTGTGTAAGCTCTAGAGCAGGTGGTTCTCGGTAGCTTGAACAGAAGGAGATTTGGGGTTGTCCGGGTGAGTTTCTGCTGGTTCGGATAAGAAGGCCGATTGATTATCAATTTCATTAACCAATGAGGTATTGGTAAAATATTGAGACGCAAACCTCCATCTGTACGTCTTTGCTCCTTGTTTTGACTCTGTGTGTAATTTGATAACGAGCCTTCTCTCTCTCTCTTTTGGTCTTCTTGTATTCGTTCTGGTAACACAAGAACACTTCTGTTTCAAGAGTGGTAACACAACCCCGCGCAGTATTCATTTCCGTTGTGACCGTCGGTGATGTTTCTAGGGGAAGAATTTATGTGAAGGTGAGGATATACCTTTAGGCAAAAAGAAGGCGATTTTTCTGTCAGGAAAAGTGACCTTTGAGGAAAGGAACCCAGTACCCGCTCTGTTAGGTGGTCCCGCCTTTCTGCGCATCAGGCTGCAGCGCCGGCTGTGGAGCACAGGTGGGGGGTCGTGCCGCTGGCCCTGGAGGGGCTGGTGGCGAGGAGGCAGCTCTGGGGGGGACGGGGGCCTGAGGGGCGGGGGCAGGGGTGCTGGCCGCCTGGCGGCTGTGTGCCGGCTTGCTCACGCTTGGCCTCCCTGGACCTTCTTTTTCCCCCTTGCACAGTGGGCGTGATGGTGGCACCTGCCTCCTGGTTTGGGGAATTAAATGCTGAAGACTGTCCGTATCTGGCACATGATGGCCTGTCACATATGTTAGTTACAATTATTATTGTGTGTTAGCTTGGTCACTGCCCACCCAAGTTAATGTTCAGGAACTTGATTTTTTTTGTCTTCTCAGTTTTGATAAAATTCTGTAGACTTACACACACTGGCCAAAACTGGCTGAATAATTGAGCAGAAAGCTAATGTGTTCCTTTATTAGGGGATGGGCCTGAGGGGCGGGGGCAGGGGTGCTGGCCGCCTGGCGGCTGTGTGCCGGCTGCTCACGCTTGGCCTCCCTGGACCTTCTTTTCCCCCCTTGCACAGTGGGCGTGATGGTGGCACCTGCCTCCTGGTTTGGGGAATTAAATGCTGAAGACCATCCGTATCTGGCACATGATGGCCTGTCACAGATGTTAGTTACAATTATTATTGTGTGTTAGCTTGGTCACTGCCCACCCAAGTTAATGTTCAGGAACTGGATTTTTTTTGTCTTCTCAGTTTTGATAAAATTCTGTAGACTTACACACACTGGCCAAAACTGGCTGAATAATTGAGCAGAAAGCTAATGTGTTCCTTTATTAGGGGACTCAGCTAGTAACGGCTCTGCTCAGGTGTTCCTGTGTGATGTTAAGGAGATCCAGCAAACTGAACTGCTAGGTATTTATTAGTGCTTATTTAGTGCAAATCAGATGAAAGGAAGTTTTTAATAATCTATGTTACTTAGGCTTGATCGAGCCTGGAGAATTGTTTCTTTAAAAGCATCAATAGAGAGGTTTCTTTTAAAATGATTATCAGCCTGATTTTTGGCCCAGGCCAGACACGGACGACTGCTGACTTGCTTTCTCAGCTGCCACCCTGCGCCCGTGCCCGGCTTCCCTGGCATCTGTGGTTCGGGTAGTCCTTCCCACACATCCCTGCGTTCCTACCCCGGGTCAGGGAACACAGGGGCGGGCGGCCCGCAGCAGAGTCGGGCGGACACAGTAGGAACCCAGGGGGTGGAAATGTGCCTGACGGTGTCTTTGTCCCGTTTAATTTTCAAATAGACCGTTAAGCCCATGCTAATACTCCACGTCCCTTACTTTCCTTCAGGTGAAGACTCGTTAGGTGGTGCCTTTCCATGAGGGCAGGCTGGCGGGTTGGGACGTGGATAGAACTGGCTGTGATGGTCTCTGAGGCCGCAGGGACGTCTGCGAGGAGGAGGGCGAGGGGGGCTCCCCGGCCTGCTCTTAGGGTGGGGGTGGGCTCTGGATGCTCGAGGCGATGGGAAGACCTGACATGTCAGGGTGAGGGGAGGGGAGCCTTGAGGACTCCTGCTGAGGTGCTCTTGGTGCTGGGGACCGTGCAGGGAGCCTTGGGGTTGGAAGAGTCCGAGGAGGTCTGCGGGGAGCTGCGCTTTGTCCAGGGAGCCCCGGGGTACACAGCATCATCTGGTAAAGTGTGACCCACCAGACGAACACAGGTGCTCTGTGATGCAGCAGGCCTCAGCCCTTGGGTGTTGAATTCCTGAGTTGTCTTATTGTGGTGCTGGCAAGAGTGTTGCCTCAGAGTGTCACTGTAATTGATTGAAAAAGCAAAGGAGCCCTGGGAAGGAGCCTCCCAAGGTCCTGTGTGTGGGCTTCACCCTCCCACGAAGTAGTCTTTGGTTGGCATCCATTGTACTTTTCTCTGGAAGTAAGATTATTTTAAAAAATCAAAAAGATTTTAAGAAAAATCTACATTGTGCCTGTTGATCTGGAGCAAGTAGTTCACGCTGAAGATACTTAGTTACATTCCGCCAAGGTGGCTTTCCATTAATTCACATTCATGCTGGAGTTGGGGTTAGCGTTTCCCCTTTGAAATCTCGGGACAGATGGGCCTCAGGGTCGGGCAGGTGGGCCTCAGGGTCGGACAGGTATGGACCTCGAAGTTCAGTGCTGCTGCTGCTGCTAAGTCACTTCAGTCGTGTCCAACCCTGTGCGGCCCACAGATGGCAGCCTCCCAGGCTCCCCCGTCCCTGGGATTCTCCAGGCAACAACACTGGAGTGGGCTGCCATTTCCTTCTCCAATGCATGAAAGTGAAAAGTGAAAGTGAAGTCGCTCAGTAGTGTCCGACTCTTCGAGACCCCATGGACTGCAGCCTACCAGGCTCCTCCGTCCATGGGATTTTCCAGGCAAGAGTGCTGGAGTGCGAAGTTCAGTGCATCCGGGCTTAATTCTGGACTTGGCTTTGATCCTGCTTGAACGGGATACTCAGACTTTGTGAGTTTTAGTGGCCAGATCTCGAGGCTGGGCTTTGATCATAGCGTCTGCTTCACTGGCTGGTTATAAAGACTTGAACAAGTGGTGCCCGGCCCTAGCTGAGGGCCCCGGTCCGAGTGGGCAGCTGCTGACACAGGTGCTCTGTGGCCGGACCTGACACTTGAGCCACGCAGCGGGGGGCAGCCTGTAAATAGCTCATCCCAAGTCATTTGACTAAATTTGAAGACACCTTTTTTTAATAGGGTATCGTTTTTTTCAAAGATGTATCATTTCATTTTCCTTTCAGGATTTGGAGTTCCACGGAGTGATGAGATTTTATTTTCAAGATAAAGCCGCCGGGAACTTCGCCACGAAATGCATCCGGGTGTCCAGCACCGCCACCACCCAGGACGTGCTGGAGACGCTGGCCGAGAAGTTCCGCCCCGACATGCGGATGCTGTCGTCACCCAAGTACTCACTCTACGAGGTGCACGTCAGCGGAGGTCAGTGCGCAGGACGGGCCGCGGGCCGTGGTCCTCGTCGTGAGACGCTCACTTTCCTGGGGCCCAGCTTTCCTGCTGCCTCATCCCATTCTGAGGGAGTAGTGAGATAGATGGCAAAGCTCGAGTCTGTCTGTGAGATCCTCCTAGCAGGTAGCGTTTGGGGAGTTGCTTTCTTCTTTAGAGATAAGGAGCGCAGTGTTGCATACTTGAATTCTCCAGGTCTGGCACATACTTTGATGATACATGGGGCTGCTTGATTTTGGAGAAATACATCGTGTAACTCTATTTGTAGATTACCATGCTACAGCTAGAAGTAGCCCATTGTTTTGTGAGTATGGCCCATAAGTCTTGCTGTAGTATCTTTGTCCTGTGGAACAGGAACCGTGTTCTTGGGAAGAACAGGCATCGTGAGGAAACTCTTTATGTGGTCACTAATTTCTCCTTGTTTTAAGGTTTGAAGCTTTTGAATATATCCTGTATATTGCATGGCAATTTAGGTTGAGCTGATTAGGAATGTAAAAATGTTTAAAAATTTTTATGAGTGCTTTGGAAATACTGAGTCATCTGCCCAAAAAAAAAAAAAGCAAAATCCAGTTAATGTTGTAAATAAAGAATTGCAGATAGCACAAACCTTATTTTAATACCTATTTAAGTTGTCACAAAACCTGTTTGAACATTATTTATTTAGTTAGTTTTCTTCCTGAAGTATAGCTTTCTCTGTCTGAAATTGGGCTAAGATTTTTGTAGTATGTGAAATTCAGGTATCCCCACATACTACCAGCCTTGTGTTAGGCGGGCCATATTTGTTCATCATTTTTTCAAGTTCACTAGGGTATCACCTGCATGCATCGTACCCAGAGTAAATCTGACAGGAGAGGATGGTCCCAGTTTTGGATGTTTTCTCTGAGGCTTGAGTTCTCCTTTCACCTCAGAATCTCTGTACATAGCTTACAAAGAGGAGGATGATATTTCTCATCTTTAGCACTCTTCTTTCTGCACCGTTGGTCATTTGAACACCACCACGTGAGGTCTTTGGAATGACATCTGTGGTTGGGATTTGAGATCTAAAAATGGAATGGGCTTAATTTTTTTTAAAGAATATTTTTCCCTTAAATTTTCTTTGCCAGATTTGGTTTTAATTAAAAAGCTATGTTACTTGTACGGGATGAAGACACCAGGAAGGTGTGTAAGGAAGCAAGTGTCCGTTCCCTACCCCCAGCCATGTCCCCTTGTTGACGCTCAGCCAGGCTGGCCCGCCTGTGTCTTGCACCTTCGTGTGGCTCCAGCAGGGCCTCAGAGAGGAGGAGGCCGTGGATGCAAGTCTGCAGAGGAGCAGGCCTGGTGCAGGGCCTCAGTCTTTTTCGGGTTACAGAGCCTGTAATGTGTCAGGAACTTTTTGTGGCATCCCCAGGCCAAAGGAAATACTTAACACTTTATTTTATTGTGATGTTGTTGACTGTAGACAGTAGTAGGATCCTGACTCTCTGCATGCAATCATCAGGCACGTGTGATGTTGACTGTAGACTGTAGCAGGGCCCTGACTGTATCCACGTGAAGTTGTCAGGCACATGTAATGTAGACTGTAGTCTGTAGCAGGGCCTGACTGTGTCCGTGTGAAGTTGTCAGGCACGTGTGATGTAGACTGTAGGCTATAGCAGGGCCCTGACTGTATCCGCGTGAAGTTGTCAGGCACGTGTGATGTAGACTGTAGACTGTAGCAGGGCCCTGACTATCCGAGTGAAGTTGTCAGGCACGTGTGATGTAGACTGTAGACTGTAGCAGGGCCCTGACTGTGTCCACGTGAAGTTGTCAGGCATGTGTAATGTAGACTGTAGGCTGTAGCAGGGCCCTGACTGTATCTGCATGCAGTTGTCAGGCACACGTGATGTTGTTGACTGTAGACAGTAGTAGGATCCTGACTCTCTGCATGCAATCATCAGGCACGTGTGATGTTGACTGTAGACTGTAGCAGGGCCCTGACTGTATCCACGTGAAGTTGTCAGGCACGTGTAATGTAGACTGTAGGCTGTAGCAGGGCCTGACTGTGTCCATGTGAAGTTGTCAGGCGCGTGTGATGTAGACTGTAGACTGTAGCAGGGCCCTGACTGTTTCTGCATGCAGTTGTCAGGCACACTTGATGTAGACTGTAGCAGGGCCCTGACTGTATCTGCATGGAGTCATCAGGCACACATGATGTAGTCTGTAGCAGGACCCTGACTTACCTTCATGCAGTTGTCTGGCACATGGGTTTCAGGGCAGCTCCCTCTTTGCTGTTTTACAATTGAGACTTAATTGTCCTGAATATTAGTTCTCTAAAAATGTGCTGTGAGGGATTTCAACCCAGTGCAAATTTTGCCACTTGAGCAACTTGGTAGTTTTGGTTTGAAGCAGGAATTTCAAGCTTCTTGGCCCAGCCTCTGATTTATCACTGTTCTCATATCTTCTGCTGCTACAATGGTACTTGAGAGTTTGTCTGTCCTGTATTCTGGGAGTTCACGGCGCTGCTGACCTGTGACGCTTACTGAGAGCCTCTGTGAATCTTGGGATCCATCTGGCCGATCCCGCCTGCTTTACCACAGTGATTGCCCATCTTTGCTGCCCTCTTCCCGGCGTAATCTTCGCCAACTCTCACCTCCTGGTGGTCAGGTGTGGGGGCCTCAGGGGGCTGCCAGGAGTGTTTCAGATTTCAAACCAGGAAGGACGTAGACTCTGAACTTAGCCCTTTACCTCTACATGGAGAACAGTGGTGCTTGCTGGCGGGAGGGGCGTGAGGGTGGAGGACGGAGCGTTTGGAGCAGGAATCAGGACACAGTGGGAGGAGGAGCGCAGGGTTCAGGCCAGGACGGATGCTGGTGGGGCAGGGCTGCGTCTCGTCGGCACTTGACGCTGATGTGAGGAGTCTCATCCATCAGTGGAACGTCTTGTTTTCCAGTTGTATGTCAGAGAACGTGATTTACAGAAATAAACATAGCAAGGCCCTACATGTGTTTTTTCCTAGGCTGTGTGTATTTCTCATATCTTCCTGGTTAGATTCTAAATATTGTCAGGAAGTTGTGCCTGGCCATCTCTGGCACTGGACCCATGGTAGGTATAGACATACAGTAGCACCAGAATCCTGAATTAGTCATTGAAATGCTCACTCCACAGTTTGAATTACACTCAGCCTATCAGAAAGTAAGGAAGGTTACAAGACATTTTTTTGTCTCTAAAATTTACTGTATATCAGAATGTTGTAATGTTGTATTGATTAGTGCCATTAAATAACCATGGTTTTTTGTTCTTTTTTCTTTTCATGTTGTGAAGAAGAAAGAAGATTGGATATAGATGAGAAACCCCTGGTGGTGCAGCTGAACTGGAATAAAGATGACCGAGAGGGGCGGTTTGTCCTTAAGAACGAGAACGATGCCATTCCTGCAAAGGTGAGAGCCGGGGGCCTCGCTGATGCTGTTCCAGGGCTGCCTCTGATCAGGGGTCATGGGGCTCATTCGCTTCTTTGATTCTCTCCCTAAACTGTGCTTTCACCTTCCTCCTGGAAAGTACTGTAAGAGTAGCCCAGCTTCATCCTCTTATTTCACGGAATAATCCCAAGTATTATTCTCTCCTTTTCAAAGGATTATGTAAACTGTTGTCACTCAGAGACTTCATGATCAAGGAATCAGCTTCAGGTCTTTTCCCCCCCAAATTATAAAGTTGAAATATGTTTTAATAAGAATCAGAAGGGAAAATAAAACTTGAAAAACCTATTTATATGTGAACTTTCAGATACAACTTAATAGTAAGACATGTTTAAGACCTTTTTCGTATTATTATGTGGAAAGTTAAAACTTGGTAAAGTTCCCTGAGTTTCTCTGGGTGCTGTAATAGAGTGAGGCTAAAACTTTCTCGGCTAGTAGGACATCTGGATTCCCGTGCTGCTGTTCTTTTCATGTGGAATACTGTGAAATACAGATATAGCTTTAAAATGATTATAATTCTATTTCAAGTCAGGTGGCCTCTTACAGACTAGAACTCAGTGTTGACAGGTGACAACAAAGGCAGAGGTTAAGGGTATTTTGAGAAAAATCTTGCATTTAATTTTCCTCTGGGGAAAGGGCTGATGTTTGCTTCTGGCAGCAGTTTTCACAGTGTCTGTGTGACGTCAGTGTCCCATGTGGAAGATGCAGACACACAGCTGTGCTCCCGGGACTTGTCGCCTTTGCAATGAACACGTACGAAATAAGAACGGACAACTTTTCTCTGCCAGAGGAGCCTGGCGGGCTACAGTCCGTGGGGTCGAAAAGAGTCAGCCGAGGCTGAGCGACTGAGCACGTGACTTCGGCTGGTGTGCCTTTTGGTGGGGCCCCAGGTCCCACTCTGCGGGCAGTGGAGCGCTTTTTAGGGTCGGGACGACTGGACAGGGCCCAGGCAGCTTGCACAGAGACGGAGGTGCTTGCTGGCACAGCTGAAGGCAGTTTTCTTTCCCCATAAAATAATCTTTTATTTTTTTTATTTTTTACCAGCCAGCCTGTTAAGTCATATAAAAAATAATTTGTTTCTGTGTCTTCTGCAGGCAGGTCATGTTATAAATTAAGAATAAGCAAAAAAATAAATAAATAAATAAATAAAACCTGGAAAAGAAATTAGAAGTTTTTGTATAAACATAATACTTACAACTTTGCTTCATAAAAGCCAATTTTTTAGAGCTATTCTTGACATTTCTTCTGACTTAAAGCAAACATCTATAAGGTAGATAATGTTTCAAATGATTATTTCAGTGTTTCCATTAGGTTCCATTTATTTGTTACTAATTATTTGGATTTTTATTTATTAAAAATGATAAATAAGCTGGTGTGATTCCCATCCCAGTTTTCTTACTGGGTTTGGGTTTTCTTATGTGCTTGCTTCCTTGGTTATTGGTTTGAATTTAGCTGAAATTTTCACTCGGTGAAATGAGATCTTGAGCATGTAAGTGTGCATCAGTACACTCACATACCTGTCGGCACAGTCAGGACAAAGACCATCTGTCATCCCAGGCCTTCCCTGCCCCAGTGGCTGTTTTCGGCTGTAGCGTGTGAGATGTGGTTAGATCCCCATAGATGGCTCTGTGTGATTCTGTGTCATAGCAGTGGAGTGATAATATTGCTTTTATCAGAAGGCTCAAAGTAATGGACCTGAAAAGCAGGAAAAAGAAGGTGTTATCCAGAACTTCAAGAGAACTCTCTCAAAGAAGGAAAAGAAGGAAAAAAAGAAGAGAGAAAAAGAGGCAGTGAGACAGGCGTCTGATAAAGATGATAGACCTTTCCCTGGGGATGACATGTAAGTTAATCTCAGAAATATTCCTGTTTCTTTGTGTTCTAAGCCAAATGTTTTTTAACGCAGCAGGTCTCCTTAAACTCCCAGATAAACGGTGTGTGGGGGGGGGGGACTTCAGCTCAGTGACCGGCGTGCCGAGGGGAGCCGGGCGTCTGCTGAGCGGCACATGTTGCTGACGCTGCCCGTCTGCGATGCTTGCTCATCTTAGAGTGGGGAACCCGCGAACAGGGCTGCCTTTCCCGGTGAACCACAGGGTCAGATTCTCACCATCCCTGCCTGCCTTCCCTTCCCTCGCTGCTGTTTTGGTCGTTAAGGCAGCAGTGGTTTCTCAGACACCTCGGATACTCTTAACACCTGAACGGAGGTTGGCAAGACTGGTGAGAAAAGCTGGTGTCCCCGTCTCAGGTCATAGGCACCATCGGGCCCACCCAGCCCCTCTCTTTCCTTAACTGTACACTGGCCCCAGCACAGGTGTGCTCACCTGTCTGAAGGGACTTGCGCCTCTGGCCTCGGAGCCGAGGGGGTAACAGAAAGGAGGCGTGAGGAGATCCCGGCCTCTTCTCTTCACGGAGTCTCCTGGCCTCGGCGTAGCCTCATGGGTTTTCAGCTTAGTCAGTTCGTTCCATCATCAGGTGCTTTTTCCGAGGCTGCCTCCTTGTCTTGGTGTTGACTGCATCCACTCCAGCGAATGTCCTTGTTTCTACAATTTTGAGGACTCGTTTGAATGTTTCCCGAGGAAATATTCCGGAAGAATGGCTGAGAGACACTGTGGCATGCTTGTGTTGCCAGACAAGGGTCTCCAGCCCTCGGGCCCCTCATGCTGCCTTAGAACTGCCGAGTGTGACAGAGCAGCGTCTGACCCCTGCAGTGTGTGTGAGCATCAGTGAATGCAGCTTGCTTCACCATTAGCAAGGCCGTGGTCTCTGCATGCTTGTTCACCGTTTATGTGCTTCTGTTGCACTGACCTCTTCAAGTCTTTTCCCATATTTTGATTGATTCTGAGTGTTCCATGTGTCTTGAAGATGTTAACGATTTGTCAGTGAAGGATGTTTACTTTAGAGTGGAGTTGGAGCCTGTTTTGGATTACATCAGAGTCGATTTAGATCTTAATCTGTTAGGCAGAAATGCCTGTGTGATGAGCATGAACTTGAGTATAGTATGTTACATTGTAAGGCTCTACTCAGAGTATTTATGCAAGAGGAAGAACTTGTACACATAGGTTGCTCACATATGAAAAATATCAAGGAAGAGGAGAGTTTAAAACTTAGGTTGTAATCATTCTGTTAATTTAGTGTACAGGATGATCAAAGTACTTGTGTTAAGAAAGTAAGCTACTTAAAATGAGTTAAGTTCAACTTGATTCAGAGCTTGACTGATTTAATAAAATTATTTTATGATTTTTATGACATCTTTAAAGTATATTTATCAAAATTTAGTCAAGTATATTAGTCTTACCTAAATACTTAGTTTTCAACTCATTATTCTATACAGTTGACTCACTGTAGGAACTTGGGGAGCTATTTCCTTTTTCAGTCTTTCAGTGTTGAAGAATCATGCCGTGTGAGTTCTTCAAGACTTACTGGGTCACAAAGAGTTGGACATGATTGAGCGACTGAGCATGCATACATAATTTGAAGACAGATTTTTGCTAAAGTATATTCAGTTCTTTATTTCTTGTGGTTGCAATGCTGTATCACTTATTTAATCTCTTTGAGATAGAGAAACCTTGTATAAATAACTGAAATGTGTTTTAGTTTTATTAATGAATACTCAATTAAGTTCTGTAAACTCAACTATAAAATTTTAACTAGGAGTTTCTGCCTAGTTCAGCGGTTTAGTTTGTACCGAGAGAAACTACCTGTCGTGATTAGACCAGGGCAGGGCAGAGCTGCTCGGCTCAGGAGCGGCTGGGGGCCCCGCGCCCTGAGTCCGGTGAGGGCGGCGTGCCTGCCTCTGATGTAATCCCTGCTCTGTCTGTTCCTCTCCCCCTCCCACAGCGAGAATTCTCGCCTCGCCGCCGAGGTCTACAAAGACATGCCTGAGACCAGCTTTACGCGAACCATCTCCAACCCCGAGGTGGTCATGAAGCGGCGGCGGCAGCAGAAGCTGGAGAGGAGGATGCAGGAGTTCCGGAGCTCGGACGGGCGGCCGGACTCGGGTACGGGCCCGCGCCGCGCCCGCTCATCCCTGGCGCGACTGCTGCCGTCTGGGGACGCGCCTGACGCGCGCCGTCGTCCAGTGACGCACCTGACCTGTGCTGTGCCCGCTACTGCGCTTGACGCGACTGCTGCCGTCTGGTGACGCGCCTGACGCGCGCTGTCGTCTAGTGACGCGCCTGACCTGTGCCGTGCCCGCTACTGCGCTTGACGCGAGTGCTGCCGTCTAGTGACGCGCCTGACGCGCGCCGTCGACTAGTGACGCGCCTGACATGAGCTGTGCCCGCTACTGCGCTTGACGCGAGTGCTGCCATCTGGTGATGCGCCTGACGCGCGCCGTCATCTAGTAACGTGCCTGACATGTGCTGTGCTCGTTACTGCGCTTGACGTCTGGTGACGCGCCTGACGCGCGCCGTCGTCTAAGGGCGCGCCTGACGGGCGCCGTCTTCTAGGGGCGCGCCTGACGCGCGCTGTCATCTAGTGATCTGCCTGATGCGTGCCATGCCCGCTGCTGTGCTTGACGCGAGTGCTGCCGTCTAGGGACGCGCCTGACCTGGGCCGCTCCCTCTGCTGTGTTTGACGGGCCCCGCGCCGCGCCCGCTTAACCCTGACGCCAGTGCTGCCGTCTAGGGACGCGCCTGACGCGTGCCGCGCCCGCTGCTGCTCTTGACGCGAGTGTTGTCTAGTGACGTGCCTGATGTGTGCGAATAAGTGTGGTAAAGTCACAAGTTAGTTATTGAGTAGTTTCACTTGTTAGGAAATAGTAGATGATCGTTTGTTTCAGAAAGTCTGTATTAGAAGGCTGTGTCACTGATGCGGCATTTGCTGAAAATGTCCGACCTGGTATGCCGTCACCTCTGGTTCTCCGACAGGGTCACGTTGAGGTGCTTTAGAGTCGGGCGTTGTGAACCTTTCCTGTGACGATTAGGGCCCTTACGAGCTGAGTCTTCATTATGTGTTTTGTGGGAATTGTAGTGTCGGTGACTCAGAAAACTAGGGGCTGAGAGACTTATTGTTCTATAAATAATATAATAGGTGGCTTTTGAGACCTATCCTGTCTTGTTCCAGCAGGGATTTGAAATGACTTTAAAATATATGCATTGCAAAAGAAGGAGAAAGAAGAGAGGAACTACAAAGATGAGAAAGGAAAAATGTAAAAGTTTTAGGAAAAATGTGCGAAAAGTGCAAGCTAGGGGCTTATCCGTAGAAAGCTTCCAGTCTAGCCCAGGCCTCAAATCGGGACGGTTGCTCTGAGAGTGGAGTAGAGGGTCCACGTGAGGGCGCTGCAGTTGAAGCGGGCGCCCGCGTCAGACGCGAGTGTAGTCCTGGAAGGGCTGACTGACTGAGCAGTCATGGATGGCGGCCGTAAGGAGAGAAAGGAGGGGTAAGCACCAGCAGAGGGAAGGAAGGGAGCCAGCACCTGGCGGGGCTTTTCTGAGGAGAGGAGCCCTTCAGGATGACACCCTGTTAGTAGCTGGATGACTGGGTCTGCAGGGTGAAGGGACATCTGGAGGGGAAGCCGGATTCACTTGTGTGTCTTGGGAGGAGCTGCCAGCTTGGTGACTGAGAACCAGTCAGTGGTGTCACTGGGCATGCAAGAGACTTGGTGCAGGTAATACAGACCTGGAAGGAAGGCCGTTGCTGAGGGGTAGACAGAGGAAACAGGGCAGACCTCTGGAGGATGAGGAGGAGAAACAGCAAACATCCAGGAGAGGAGAGCTTGTCTGCTCAAGGGATAGTTGGGGTCCAAGGAACCTGTGCAAACTTCCAGGAAACCCTGAGAAACCAGAGATTGTTGGTAGAACAGCTGTTTGTGTTAATACTAAGACAGACAAATAGAGTAAGTTGAAGTGTTCTGTCAGTCTGTTTCTAATAAGTAACTTAGAGAAATGTATCTCTGTAATCTCCGTGTGTGCTGGGTTTGTGTGGTGATGTCACGATGGGAAGGTCCTTGAGAGGAACGCCGAATCTGTCATTCTGTCTCTTAGCCTCAGGGTGCTCCCCCAGGCTCTCATGAGGAGCTCACACACACTGTCCGACTCCCTTCACAGCAGGTCAGAAGTCATCACTTGTAGCAGGCGTGGCCTCTGCACCTTGGAGAGTATTTTTAGCACTCAGGTGTATTTACGCTCTGATGCCTCCCAAGTGTGAGTGACCTCAGAATGCCCGTGGGGTCAGCCCTTCCACCTCAGCTTCCTGTGAACAGCCTTGGGAGCCGCGTGTGCTGCCCTGGATCCTTCCGCTCTGTGGGCCACGCTTTGTACATCTTCCCAGTGGGGGAACGGTCCTCCCTTAGCTTTAGAACTGAAACGTGTGTTTACACAGACGGGTTATAGTTGCCAGCAGGAGTTTTAAAATGTTAGCTTCTCTCCTGTCTCTCCCTCCTCAGGGATTAGGGAGGTGTGTGTTTCTGTTGTGCTGATTCTGTGGTATTATGCTTTTATAGTGAAAACCTCTTAAATCAGACTCTGGCCGTTTGTCTGTTGACCTGTCCCTGGATGAGTTGAGTGTTAGGCTCCCTGGTGCTGTTGTGTTCCCGTCAGGCCCTCTCCCCATGCCTGCTCAGATCAGCTTCATACAGTCAGGGGCTCACTTACAGGCACGTGTGTGTGAATTAGTGCATTAGCGTCTTGTATTTGTATCCCTTTATCATTATTGCTGCCCCCACTTTCTTGTCATTTGTTTACATGAATTGTCTTTTTCTGCCCCCTCATTTTCTGTCAGTTTGTGTCTTTAGCTCTGAAGGAAGTTTCTTATAAGCAGCATGTGGATGATTCTTGTTTTTTACCTAATCAGCCTCCTGTGTTTTTTGATTGTAACATTTAGTCCATTGCCATTCGAAGTAATTACTGATAGGCATGTACTCACTGCCATGTTATTACTCGGTTTCCGCTCGTGCACGTAGTTTTCCTCCGTTCATTTCTTTGTTTCTTCCCTTGTGTTCTGTGGATTTTCTTTAGTGGTGTTTTTGTGTTTCCTTCTTTGTAGTGTTCGTGTTTATTGTAGGTTTTTGTGAGCGCATACATCCATATACATTGGTCTGTATCTACTTGTGTTAAACTAGCAGTCGTTTAAGTTCAGACACATTCTAAAAGATCTACATTTTTTCCTTCCCCTTCTTGTTAGTTTTCCCCCCTTAACATCTACCGTTTACAACCTGTTGAAAGCCTGTGGCAGTGACCGGTCCATGCTGTGTCCTCATTGTTGAGCTGGGGGGGTGGCGCTTTGTCCCCGTGAGTCTGTAGATAGCTTGCCTCTTGGCCCATGTCAGCAGGTCTGCATTCTAATGCTGGCCTGGACTTGCTGATTATCTTAGGAGACCAGCATTATTTTATTGTTGTCAGGTTGTCATGATGCAGTGTGTGCCAGACTTGTGTACAAAGGGTGCGAGAAGCATTCAGTAGCCAGAATAACTGCATTAGAATTCAGCAGACTCAGGGAGTCACAGAAGTTTAGAGTTTGCGTCGAAGTGCACAGATCTTTATTCTCACTCTGTAATTCAAAGGTGAGACAAGAAGCCCAAGGAAACGTGCCCCCACCTCTAGGTCTCCTGGCATGGGGGCATGGTGCCTTGCCTGACTTGCACACCTGCCCCAGGAGTCTTTCATCTAGACTTAAAATTGTAGGGCTTAAAAATCTTGTAAGTAGAAAGCAAATTATGACACCAGAAATGCAATAATACAACATGTAAAAGAGTCCATTAAAGAGAAACATGCAAAGAAGAAAACCTCAGGGTATCCAAATTGCTGTGCTCTAGTTCACTATTTTTCCTCCCAAATGAGTTCACAGGTAGAAGGGACAGGTTTCGGATTGTTGGTCAGGAAGTCGAGGAACTGGGAAAGGTCGGTGTCTAGCAGTGCCGGTGAGGAAGTGGGAAAGCAGGTGAAGAAGGTGTAGCGCTGAAGACGCTCCAGGGTCTCCTCCTTTCCATCCTTTACTGAGAGCGGATATGAAAGCCACGTGGGCTCGAGGGGAGGACACACGCAGCCTTACCGCACAGAACTGTTTCTTACTCGCTCTGGCTAAGGGTCCCTGGGCCAGCGTGGCCCTGCCATGAGTGTCGTTTAACAGGAAGTGGGGCTGCAATTTGTGTACAGCTCTCTGTTGTTGGAGTGAAATAAAAGTTGTGCTTAAAGATGTCAAACTTTTTTTTTCAGGTGGAACATTGAGAATTTACGCAGATAGTTTAAAACCAAATATTCCCTACAAGACGATCCTGCTGTCCACTACAGACCCTGCGGACTTCGCCGTGGCAGAAGCCTTGGAGAAGTATGGCCTGGAGAAGGAGAACCCCAGGGACTACTGCATCGCCCGTGTGAGTGCTCCCAGGTCACGCGGGCCCAGATTTGGCACTCCTGTGGACAGATGTGCTGTAGATGGAGTCGCATATAGGCTGACTTTCTCCCTGCTGTATCATTAGAATCTGGTAAACTGAGACTGTGCGTGCATATGTATAAAAGACAACATTCTCCCTCCATTACAAAAGTAGTTTGTGTTTCTATTTGTTATAAACTAAGTATAAAAAGACAAATTGAAGAAGGTAAAAATTCTCTGTAGTTCTAGTACCAAAGGATAAGTGCTATTTACATTTTCATACATCCCCTTCCGATTTTTATTTAACATATATACTAATATATAGGTAACAATTTTAGTAAAATCTGCCTTAGTGATTTTTTTCTTATCGTAACGACTCAACATTTAAATAAATTTTGGTTTGCTATTTGTTACTAACCAACATTTGGTTGATAGATTTGGTTGCCATCCATAATTTCTTGGAGATAAAGATTGTGTCTTTGACCCTCATTCTCAAGAAATAACAGTGAAATTTTATACCTCAGAATTGATTTGCTCACACTAAGTAAAACCAAGCAGATTTTTTTCTTGTAAGAAAAACTTTCTGGTAAATCCTTCACCTTTAAGTCAGTCCCAAGTAGGTATTAGCTTCTTCGTAACCATTATTTCTGTCAGAATCTCATTGAAAGTAGATTTTAAAAGGTATCCTCCTTTATTTCATCTTAGTGGTTGATTGTTAAATAATCAAAGGGTGGTAGTCTTAGTTCGTCCTCCCACAGGATTATTTAGGAATAGTTAAAGTGCAATATGTTACATGTATTAAAGCTCATAGCACTGTCAGCTTTGGCAAGTCAGCACAGTGACCCCCTCAGAAGCTTCCTTGTGCCTCTGTTTCTACTGTGAGTTTCATTATGTGGGTGTGTCATAGTTTGTTCATCCATCACCTGTTGATGGATTTGTGTTGTTTTCAGTTTTCATTTTTTAACTCCTACAGTAAAACTGCTATGAGCGAGCATCCATTGCAGGTCTTCTCGTAGAAGTACTTCTCTTCTTGAGTAAAGACTCAGGAGAGGGTTCAGTCACACAGGAGGCACACGTGTGCTTGTCCAGCATGGCTGTACCACTTACACCTCCACACACACATGTAGACGACAGGTCCCGCTGACGTGTCCAGTGAGGATATACCACTTACACCTCCACACACGTAGACGAGAGATCCCATTGATGTGTTCAGCATGGTTATACCACTTACACCTCCACACACGTAGACGACAGGTCCCGCTGACGTGTCCAGTGAGGATATACCACTTACACTTCCACACACGTAGGCGACAGGTCCTGCTGACGTGTCCAGCGTGGATATACCACTTACACCTCCACACACGTAGACAAGAGGTCCCGTTGACGTGTCCAGTGTAGATATACTACTTACACCTCCACAGATGTAGACGAGAAGTCCCGCTGATGGGTCCAGTGTGGATTTACTACTTACACTTCCACACATGTAGACGAGAGGTCCCGCTGATGTGTCCAGCGTGGTTATACCACTTACACCTCCACACACACGTAGATGAGAGATCCCGTTGACGTGTTAAGCATGGCTATACCACTTACACTTCCACATGCATAGACAAGAGATACTGTTGTCCTCTCTGTACCCATCTTTCATTTGGTCGATCATCTTACCTGTTAGCCATTCTGATGGGTGTAGTTGTATCTCACTGGAAAAATCTTACATTTCCCTGATGATCTAAGTAGTCCTACATGTGATACATAGGCTGTGAATGTTTTTTCCCAGTCTGTGGCTTGGCTTGCCTTTTCATTTTTAAAGTGGTATCTTTCAATGATAAAGTCTAACTTGCTAATGTTTTAGCATTTATATTTTTTTATTCTATATGAGAATTTGCTTCCTCCAAGGTTGTGAACACTTTTACCTGTATTTTATTTTAGGAGTGTCATAGCTTTAGGTCTTACATTGGGGCTGAATGTTCTGTTTCAAGGTAATGTCTGTGTATGGTATGAGGTTAGAGTCGCTTCTGTGCAGACACCCAGCTGACCCAGCGCTTTGGCACCTTTGTGGAAAATCAGTTGGCTGTTCTAATTCTGGAATCTGATGTTTCATTTATATATCTTGTATCTTTTTGCCAATATCAAACTATATTGATTACTGTAGATTATGGTAAGTCTTTTAACATCATATGAAGTCCCTATTGCACTTCTTCCTTTTGCGTTAATAGATTGCTTTGGTCATTCTAGCTTATTTGCATTTACACATCAGTTTTGGAATCGGCCTATCAGTTTCTACGTAAACCAGCTGGAGCTGTGGGTGGTTTACCCTGACTGTGGACGACCCAGAGCCCCGCAGTGTCCAGTCTTTCGAGCTGTGAGCTGAGCGCCGTCTGCTCTGAGCTCTCGGCAGTGCTGGCAGTGCTGCTCAGAGGGGGTTACATAAGAGGCCTTGCTTGAGTGTTATGGCTTTTTTCTTTTTGTTGTAAAGCTGAGAATCTATATTCTGTTGGAAAAATCATTTGCTAGGTCTATAATTTTATGAATAAAGCCCAATTTTCAGGTGAAAATAGATAAGAAGACAGACGTTTTTATCCCATTGAGATGACGGTAAAGGTATAAAAACCCTGTGTAAATGCTCAAGAGCAAAGGGAGCGAGAAAAGAGATGGCAGGAGTTGTGAACGCAGTCCTCCCATCCATACTCACCAGGTCTGACCCCGCTTAGCTTCCGAGACCAGGCGCGTTCAGGGTGGTGTGGCCATAGACACAAATGCAATTCTGGAAGACCTGAAGGAGGCGTGACCTGCAGAGGGGCCTGCGTCCCAGCCCAGGGAGACCCAGGAGTGCGGGGCTCCAGCACTTCCCCAGGCAGCATTGAAAACAGTCTGAAGACAGGTTGTCCTGGAAGTTGTTTCAGGGAGTAGCCTCCACCAGCTTGCACCCCCCGTTCTGACCGCCCTGTCAGCTCCCCTTCTGAAGGCCACGATCACACTGCGGGATTGGGGGTCCTGGCACAGCAAGGTCTTCACCACAAGCCGGGGGCAGGTGGAGGGAGGCTGTGTCCTGAGTACCGGCAGCCAGAAGATGAGCGATTCCTTCCAGACGGTGCCGGTTCTCAGGGAAGAGCAGTCTGTATGTACTCTGACCTTTGGACATCCTGGTTCACTAGCGGCCACCCTCCCCAGAACCACCCGCTCTCCCTGGACTCACCGTCAGCATGAGAGGATGACCCAGACTCCACAGATGTCGGAAAATGCCTTTAAAGTGAAAGACAGACCAACCCAAGCAGATGAGAGAACCTGAGATAAAAGAGACAAAGTAGACGGAACAAAGCTGAGGCTTGAGACAGAAGGGCTGGCCGGTGCTTGGGGGAATGGACCGGAGTGCTGGGGGAGGAAGGAGTCTGCAGAGGAGGGCCGGGGGTGAAGTGTTGGCAGGAGGCCGAGAGGCGGCGTGAAGGACGTCTGCAGAGAATGGAAATACAGGAGGTAGGGGAATTTAGGATCTCCTGACGGAGGGTCAGGTACGAGGAGCAACAGGAAGTGGAGAGAGGAATAACACCAGTGTGTCTCCCAGACCTGAAGGAGTGGGGTTTTTTTGGTCCTTTTTCCTCATACTTCCAGTTGATAGCTGCTGTGGAAAGTGTCTGAGGATAAAAGCAGTAAAGTGGTGCTGTGAATAGAGTCCGCACTGCTGAACAGAGGCCTGACTCTTTTCCGCCTGGGCCTGTCAGGCTGTGACCCCGAAGGCTGGAGCTAGCCACCACTGTCTGACTCTTGGGGCTGAGGCTCAGGTGTCTGCCAGGGGAGCGTTTTTAGTGTGTGTAAGTCTGATCGGTGATTCTCAGTTCCATGAAGCTGCATGTGAGAGACTGTGTAGTAGTAGACTTCATGATGTGTTTTTTCCTTTCCTTAATTTCCGCCTGATTTTATTGATGAAAATGAGAAAATGAAAGAACACCTTAGTCAGAGTCATGAAATTATAAAATACTTTCTTTGGGCTTTTTCTGACAGTCTCTTTGAAATCATTTGATTTCTTTTGAGGGTCGCGTAGTTTGGGGTTTTTGTTCTAAATACTATGTTCTTCAGCAGTTTTTTCTTTTTTTCCCTGCTAGTTTAGGCAGAATGAGTTAGGGGTTGATGATTGCTTTTAGCCTTGAGTTAGAAATCCTTTGCTCTCTTGCCATCTCACTGGTCGTGTGATATGAGGCTCTTTCATATTCATTCAGTTATCTGTTGTGTCTCTTCACTGAGTTATTCAGTGCATAGGTAGGTTCCTCTTCCTTAGATACTGTGCTAACTGTGTTAGATTCTGTGTCAGGTCAAAGCTAAGACCTGCCTTCAAAGAGTCCATAGTAAAGGGAGACAGTGAGAGTGAGACACGTAGGTGGTCTGCGCGAGCACGGCGGTCCGGGAAGGCTCCCTGGAGGAGCTGCACCCGAGCCGAGGGGTGGGGGGTACTCACTGGACCCCAAAGCTGGGGGCGCCTTGCAGGTGCAGCGCAGCATGGGCTCTCATGGCCTGGCGGAGAATCCGGAGAGCTTCCGAGGGACGTGCTCTCTGAGGCCACTTGGCAGAGTGTGAGACCGAAGAGACAAGTGCGAATCAGACCCTGGAGCAGTGTGCGTTCCAAGCCCGGGATGCTGCATTTAGTACAAGACACTATGAGGAAATAGCAGTTACCTTAGTGTAAGGGTGTGTTGTATTAGTAATAAACTTGTCTTTTTAGGGTAATTTGTAGCAGTGTAGAGAGAAGTTTTACAGTTCTATAGACATCCAAGTCACTTGGTATATGCACATATGATGTAAATGGGCATAATGTCTCTTAGAACATTATTGAATTAACTCGAGGTTGAAAACAATCTCCAGGTGCCAGTGACTGGGTTTGTTTTCTGTAGTCATGTGTTGGTTGGTGTTGAGAGATGGGCTGGAACTCAGCAGGGCATTGGAGACTGAGCCCTGGTCACTGGCTCTTTTCTCTCTGTTATGGGTGGTTTTCTCTAATGATTAAGAAAATTGCTTGCTGATAAAACAGAATAAAAAGTAATACAGTGCTACAGATGTGTGAGTATCGTGCATGCAGTACCTTAAAGCCCGTGTTGAATGAATGACTGTGTACTGCATCTAAACTATCTGATATAATTTAATCATAATATGAATTTTGTGTAAGAAAAGGAAAGCTGGTCTCTTCTGCGGCTGCTCTGTGATGGTTCTCTTGCAGAGGACGAGTTAGATGAAACTGCCTTGTTAACACCAGTGTGATAGTGGAAGGTAGGCTGTGGACCAGCGGGTCTGCGATGATGCAGTCATCTTTCTTTAAGAACCTCCTACAGGTTGAGCTTTGCAGGCAGTCCTGCCGACAGAGCGTGTCAGGGAGCAGACCTGACTAGCGTTTGGGGCGGGACAGAGGGGCAGGCCAGTAACAGCAGTCTGGTCAGCTGGCTGAGGTTTTTATTGGAAACTTTTCCCTCACTTTTGTCCATGTTTTTCAGGATTGTTTATAGTGTTTGAAAAATTCAGTTCTACAGTGACTTTTTATTTCCTCAAAAACAAAAAATTCTTCTAAATACCCGCTGATTCACTTTTGGGCGTAGTCACAGTTAATTGTTATTCCCTCTTAGGTCATGCTTCCTCCTGGAGCCCAGCATTCTGATGAAAAAGGTGCTAAAGAAGTTATCCTTGACGATGATGAGTGTCCTTTACAGATCTTCAGGGAATGGCCAAGTGACAGAGGTAAAGAGAGATTATGCTTGTTAAAGAATTAGCTCTGGGATACGTGATAGGTTAGGGTCTAACCTGGCGGAAGAGGCAAGAGGTGTGTGTGGCAATGTCTCTTGAGGACTGTGTGCTGGGCCGTCTTCCACCTCCTTCCGGGACTTGCTGGGGGCAACTAGCTGGGGCCTCCTAGCTAGCTGGTCCCCTGTTCCTGAGGCTGCTCTGGGCCAGGTGGGTCTGGCAGGGGGCCGGCACAGACCATCAGGCAGCAGCGGGGCCACTGTGTCCTGCAGAAGCCGGACCAGAGCACCTTGTCAGGTCATGAGGGGTTGTCACCTGTTGGCACCTGGTTCCTTCCCTGCTGACCAGATGGACTGGTGACGTGTGGACAGGCTCGTCGTAATAGGGAAGATAACTTCAACCCTAAATGCTGTCTAATCCTTTAGTCATTTTGTATAAGGAATCCAGACCTTTCCACCGCTCAGACAATTTCTCCTGATTATTTCGCAGCGGTGAGGGCACAAAGGTGCATTTTTGATGAGAGAACAGTTTTCTTGCTTTCAAATATGCTTCTTAAGCTGACTGTTGCCCAATGGAGGGCCTTTGCGTTGATGAAGACGTGAAAACTTCCTGCCAGTTAATCCTGACATTTGAATGTAGATTGATACTTTTAAACTACACTTGCTTAGTACTTTTTCTTGACAGTATGAAGTTAAACTTTATTAAAGTCAAATTGCTCTTAATTGTGAGTTAATTCAGTTGAATTATTTGCTCTTAATTGTGAGTTAATTCAGTTGAATTAAGAATATGTGTGTATATGTATTAACGTGCGCCTGTGTTACTACATGTGTGTATGGACGTATTGATCGTAGGGTCGTTTGCCAATAGAAGAGTTATTCTGAAATAGGTTGTTTTTCAAGCATATAACTTGTTTGCATAATTGTTAATTTAAAATGCTTTGGGGAAATTGCTTACTAGAGTTTTCAAGAACCCAAAGTTAAATTGCGTGAGCTTTTCTTAATTATGCCTTGGGCAGTGGTGTGCAGTGCTAAGGCGCTTCAGTCATGTCCGACTCCTTGCACCCCATGGACTGCAGCCCACCAGGCTCCTCTGTCCCTGGGACTCTCCAGGCGAGAGCGCTGGAGGGGGCTGCCGTTCCCTCCTCCAGGGGTCCTCCCGGCCCAGGGCTCAAACCAGGTCTCCTGCATCTCTTGTGTTGGCTGGCGGATTCTTCACCACTAGAGCCACCTTGGGAGATGTTAAACTGCATTTTCTTGATGAACCTTGGGCAGTTGATGGTCGATCAGCTGTCCATCAACATTCACTTGACTTGGTTGATAGCTTACAGTGTTTCTATTCTAGGGATTTTAGTCTTTCAGTTGAAGAGGAGGCCGCCAGACCACATCCCAAAGAAAAGTAAGAAGCACGTGGACGGGAAGCCCCTGCAGGGGAAGGAGAGAGCCGATGGGTCGGCCTATGGCTCTGCGCTGCCCCCCGAGAAGCTGCCCTACCTCGTGGAGCTGAGCCCGGGTGAGAGGCCACACTGGGCGTGCTGCGCTTGTGGTGAACGTTACTTGAATAGCCTGTCTTTTGCTTGACATCCTTTTTTTTTTTTCAGACCGTTTATTTTTTTATGTAGCATCATAAGATGGTATTTATTAAAAAACAAAAACCCTTAAGATCATAGGATATGTATATTCATGCATAAGAATAAACTTCACATGCACAAAAATGGATATTGAAAAACAAAATCTTACATATGAATATAGAGAGTTTTTGAGTCGTTTAAATGATCTATTCCCTTAAAAAATTTTTTTTTCCCAAAACAACCTTGTAAAATACTTAAGCTACTAAAAATCAGGAAACTCAGGACATACTCTTCTCAGGACAGATTTTCTAGAGGCAGGTGTGTGTGTATGTGTCACACTGTTGCTCAGTGTATGAACGTCCTAAAGAATGTCTGTGAACTTAGCTGTGTATCTAAGAAGCCCATGTGTAAGAGGAAGGGTATGTGCTTAGTTTTAAATGATAATAGACTAAGTTTATATTTGGGTCAGCCTTCTAAATTGTGTGTTTGTTGAGCTCTCTCACAAAGTTAAAGCTGTTGTTACAAGTTAGCCACCAGGTAGAGAAATGCACTGACTTTCTTAAAATGTCTTAACACACACATGTCCTTATGTGATGTACTTAATCTGCTTACATACTTGATACATGTGTGACACATGTATCATTCAGCTAAACTGCGTCATTTCTATTTATTTGGTTAAAATGGTGCCGTGTGACCTGTACCGTAAACTGCTGTCAAGAACAGAGTTGGCCCTCCCACCCAGAGCTTCTTTTAAATGAAGCCTAGTAAGTAATCCTAGAAAAAGTTAGCTAAAAGCAAACTGTTACGTAGATAGCCTGTGGATCCTTGGGCAGGAAGTGTGTTTTGCTCTTTGATTCCTGAGTATTTATTTTTGCTTACAAAATTACGGCTCACTGTTGGTGGGCCGGGGTCGGTGTGGTGTCCGCTGGGTTGTGTGGTGTTGATACGGGGCAAATGGCAGCTCCTTTGACTGACAGTGTAGGTTATAGTCTGTGGCCTGTGCTGCAGGCCGTAGCTTCTACGTCTGAAGGTTTTTTGAAATTGATTAGCTGTTTGTGGGGAAATGTGAGTATTGCTCTGTCTCTGAGTTCTCTGGCTGAAAAGTTGATGGACACTTTGGTTTGGAAACCTGGCGTGTCTGGCGTCCGGGTATGAGGATTGGTTCTCAGATGTGTGCAGCCGTGCACGGGGACTGCAAGACGGCCATTGGTTTTGGAACTTAGGGCATTGGGTCTGTCCTTTAAAATTTTGCATTACGTGCTGGAAATTAACAATTATTTTCTCCCAAACCAAAATGTTTGAAAATAGCATTAGCCCAGAGAGACGTGATGCACAGCAGCTGACATAGAATGGTTTTGAAATGAAGAACAGCAAGTTGACTTGGGTGTTAGCAGAGGCAGGGTGACGAGTGCTTCCCGAGGGCTTCTTAGGTGTCAGACGCTGCTCTGGGCCTTGGCGGTGGAGCAGCAGCAGGTCAGATTAAACCCCTGACCTTGGGACTCACGTTTTGGCGAGAAGCGCTGTTTTGACTGCTTATGTCATGCTTATCGTCTCCCAGGTCATAAAACGCATAGAACTGTTCTGTAGGTGTAGAGGGATGGATGGTAGGTCCTGCACAGATGTCGCTGTGTCCTGCTTGCCACCAGATGCTGGCAGCATGCATCACGCACTTGTTAGTGCCCCGGCCTCTGCCACCTCCAGTCAGGGTCACGGGGCTGCCTCCAGTGCCTGGGCAGAGGGCACAGAGGGGCCAGAGGTCTCACTGCCCTTGTGCAATTCGCTGTCTCAGTCTGAGCTGGCGGGTGTCGTGCACCTGGGGGTCTGCCGCCCTGCCAGGCTCGGGGCCACGGGGGAGCCTCTCTGCTCACAGAGGCCACGCTCGCCGGGGGGCTTCTCACCCCAGAGCTGGTCTCCCCAGAGCTCCCTGACCTGACGGTGCCGCCGCGCACTGACACGGTCTGCGTGCTGAGTGAGAGGGTGGATGTTGGCGGGTCGGGGGTGAGGACCACGTCGCCGTGTGTCAGCCCGCACGTGTCCTTGGTCGGGGATCGGGGGCGGGGGAGCTGAGGCCCGCGGGAGCTGTCCAGGCTCCTGAGATGCAGGTGGACGCTTCCACTGTCTTCTGGAGGGACGGGGGTAGAGAGTCATGTTCCTCTCTGGGCAGAAGCGCCCAGCTGCTCTGGGCTGGGTGGGAGCCTCTGTGCTGGACTAACTGCTGCCCGCCTCGGGCACTCACCTGTTGTCTCAGTGTCTCCCTAACAGCGGGCCTCAGTCGCTTACACCCGGCCGTGCGGAGCACGGCTGTCGTGTCCGCGCCCCGGGCTCGGGTGATGTGCTTTTCCCACGGACAGTCGCCCCTGCAGCTCACTCTCTCCTGTCTCTCCCCCACGCCTTCTGCATGGCCTCTGTCCTGCTGCGGCCTTCACCTGGGTGCCGTGCATGTCTCCGACCCCAGGGAGAAGGAACCACTTTGCCTGCTACAGCTATCACACTTCTGAAGGTAACGCTATGCTTCCTACTACTTTCTTAACTAGAGCACTAACCCCCTCACGGGCAGAATACTGTGAACTGACCACATGCGTGATGTGTTCATTTTTCAATTAATATAAATAATGTTTCCTAAGAGTTTAATGTCCTTTCATTTTATATGTATCTAGTAATTGTTCCATATCCAGAATTCATTTAAAAGAAGCTTGTTTTGCAGAAATTTCCAGTTCCTTTGTTCAGGATAAGTTTTAAGTGAGAATTGGAGTGAGGAAGGGAGAGAGCTGTTTTCTTGACCTTCGACTCCCCTCTCCCCCAAGACAATCAAGAAGAGGGGGCAAGGCGGGGGAGGAGGAGACGGCCGGGGAACAGACAGCCTGAGAACCAGGGCCACAGAGAAGGGGCCTGGGCAGAGAGGTGGGGCACGGTCTGTGGGGAGGGCTACGTGTGTGATGCCCCAGGAGGCTGCAAAGGAGGAGCCTTTGCAGCGGGGGCCACGCACGCCTGGGCCTTGGTGGGGCCCTCAGTGGGGGCCGGGCCGGATACAGGGCATCCTCAGGGCTGTCCTCGTTCTCCGGATTGAAACTCATCTCTTGTCAGCAGAGCTGTGCTTCCTTACTTGGGGTTTGTGTCTCAAATTTTGTGCAGTAGAGTCTATCTTAAATAGTACGTGGAATTATTTCTTTGGTCTGTCTTTATATTTTAAATGTCATTTTTTGCACGTCGAATGTAACAGTCAAATACATTCTCAAATATAAAGCTTATTCACCTTCTAGCATCTTTGTCACTTTGTCATTGCTTTGTCACTTTGTTCAAACTGATCATACAGGTTTTCATCAGATACTAGCCAAACTTGGAGTTTGGGGGGTTTTGTTCTTTTTTTAAAGAAAAATAGAAACAAGTGGTATTTATTACCTGTGCTGTGTGCTGTGTTTAGTTGTTCAGTCGTGTCCAACTCTATGGGACCCCGTGGACTGTAGCCCTCCAGGCTCCTCTGTCCATGGGGTTTTTCCGGCCAGAATACTGGAGTGGGTTGCCATGCCCTCCTCCAGGGGATCTTCCCAACCCAGGGATCAAACCCAGTGTTTATCACCTGGTTTGATATAATACATAAATAGAGTCTTAGACATGTTTCAGTTGTTATTTTATTCCTGAGAAGGACTCTTTAATATTTTCCTGTGTTTTTTAATTTCATAATGTAAAATAATGAGGCAGTAGAGAGAGAAATACATTTCTTTTTTTTACCTGGCATATACCAAAAATATGTATGATATAGTCATCAACTTTACTAAAGTGTTCTTAGTTTTTATGCCAGTTCTATTTGAGGAGACTTAGTTTTTTGGATTTTTTTTTTCCAATAGAGTTAGTGAAAATATTCTCAATAGTCATGTTTCAGTAAGGTTCACATTTCTTTTTTTGATGGTTTCGTAACTGTTGTCTTGGTTTGTTGAAGTGTGAGCTCTCTGAGCACATGAACATCATTCGCTTCTTCGCGGGTTGTCTCCGGTGTCGAGCACGGCGCCTGGGCCGTGGTCCCGGTCAGCCCTCCGTCCGCGCGGGGTGGCCGACAGGACCCCAGCCCCTTTGTCCCGCCGGCCGCCCAGAGGAGGTGGTCGGGGCAGAGGCAGAGCTGGCTGTGTGGGCGTGCTGTCAGCGAGAATGCAGGCGCCCTGGGACTGGCTCAGGCTGTCCGAGTGGGCTCTGCTGTTCGCCCTTGCAGCTGGGATTGGCGACGAGAGCTGCAGCAGACCAGCGTGCAGGGCAGAGTGCGTAGCAACGGAGTCGTGGTGGCAGAGGTGGCAATGCAGTTCAGAGTGGACTTCAGAGGAGACACTGGTTAGTCAGGTGTTGGGCGTCTGACCGGGTTTCTGCGTCTTGTTGGCAGCCCCAAGTGGGTCTCTAACAGGTGTGTGAGCGCCGGAGAAGAATCTGGGTGTTGGGTTGTCCGTCTGCTGAATGTAGATGCTGCAGGTGTGCTTCTGGGTGGAGGCGAGGAGGTTTCACTCGGACTTGTGCCTTTTGAATTTTGAACCATACGATTGTGTTACATACCTATTTGACGCGATGGACATGAGTTTGAGCAAGGCTCCAGGAGATGGTGAAGGACAGAGAAGCCTGGTGTGCCACAGTCCATGGGGTCGCAAAGGCGGGACTGAACAACAACAAAAGTGCAAAATGTAAAAAAAAAACAAAGCTGAAAGCCTCTGGGAGAAGCACTGGTGTGTGTGGTCGGGTTCCTCAGGAGGGCTTACCTCCGCCTTCCGGCCATGCCAGAGCTGCTGTCCTTGAAAGGAGAAGGGTGCTCCCGCCCTCCAGGCAGAAGCAGTGTTTACAGAATACCTGTTTACAGAAAAGCAACAGTTGTAGTGTGTGTCTGGCCCTTGAGATGACTGCTTTTGCCGAGGAGGGGGGCACGGACCAATGAGGAGAAGTTGGCTACTTGCATATTCCTTGCCTCCATTTCTGATCCTCCCCGTGGCCCCTGGGCTCCATTCTGTCTCCGGCATCTGTGGCCCCCGTTTGGGGTACTCAGGACGACGCACCTGTGAAGGTGTCTCTCTCGTGTTATTCCTGGGGAGTGGTGAGGAAGGAGGGACTCGGAAAGGTGGCTTCTGCTCGTCTGCTGGCAGGTTTCTGCTACAGGGAAGTGGTGAGAAAGGAGAGGATGGGGAAGTCTGTAGCACTCCCTTTCTTTTTATGTTTCTAAATTTGCGACTGTAATGTCCATGTAAAGCATTGTAATTGAGACAGTTGTTCTTGGTCACTAATTTGCTTCTTTTGCTTTCTTTATGATTCATTAGTGTAATTCCGTGTAGCCATATTGCAATATTCTGTTCTCTTCATTTTTAGTTAGTAGTTACTCAGTGTTAACCCATCCTGTCTTTACGGGATGCACGCTGTGGCCCACGCTCCGCACTGAGTGCCAGCTGTAAAGAGACTGTTTTAGACGCTGTCCTCACGGGAGCTCGGGTGGGGGGTGAGGAAGCGGCCTCAGTGGCGGGCGGCAGGGCCGAAGGTGCCTCTCAGCCGGGACTGACCCCAGGGCTGCCCGAGGTGTTGAAAGCCAGCAGAGTAACACGCCCCTGGCAGGTCAAACAGAATCGGCCGGTCCAGGAAGGCCACACACAACGGTTGCTTCCTTCTGGGTCAGCACTTAGAGGTGAAACAGAATGGCTCAGAAGAGGCCGCCGCTGCGGCCGCCTCCGACAGGGATGCCCTGTGCGGGGTCTGTTCGCGGTGGAGTCTGTGGACCAGGCTTGGTCTCCTCTTCACCTGATCTCAGGATTGCTGCAGGGGCTCGCAGACAGGAAACCTGTCATCAGTCTGCTATTGTGTGCACTCACAAGTTAGAGAGTCTCCTGACGTCTGTGTGTTCGTGTTCCCGCTCTTGTGGTCTGTGAGAGCTGGGATCATCTGTGTGCGCTCTGGTGTGGGTCTGAAGTCAGCGAGCCTCTGGTCCGGCCCGGGACCATGTCCTGGTGCCGCCGTGTCAGGGAGGCCCGTCCCACCAGTGCCTCAGGGCTGGAGTTAGAGTGACCTGCGCTAGCCGGGATGTGGGGGCAAGCGGCCTGGCCTCAGTGGGCAGGGGTCTCAGTGTGTGTGGTCCCCCTCCCCCTCCTCCCCGCCCCCCAGGCCACCCCGTCAGGTCAGAGAAGTTCATGCAGAGCCAGGGGGAACATCTCTGCGGTTCCGGGAAGTTTAAAATGACACAGAAAGCTCCAGTCTCTGTTTGTGCTTCTCCCCAGTTGCGCTCCATGGAGGTGAGCGTCTCACCGCCGTCCCTACAGGACTCAGCGCGGTGGCAGCCGGGTGGCGTGGGACTGCCTCCCTGGGTCTGCCCCCGGATCCAGGAGAGCCCAGGGCTCACATTTCCCCCTTGGGCGGTGTGCTGGGCTCGCGGGGAGACGGCCCATCAGGAGGTGCCCACCTCCTCCCTGGTCTTCATTCAGCACCGGCCGGGTCCAGGACCATGTAGCCGGGAAGCATTTTTACGAGATAAGAAAACTTAGTGGGAACGTTGGTGTTAGTACCTTGTAGTGTAATAAAGAGAAACTGCAACATTCATGTCTTCAGTTGTATTTTGTGTACCCAGTTAGTTAAATTGCATGATGTAAACCTGGGGAGTTCTTTGAAAAGATACCCTGCGAACTGAGAGCGGGTTTGTCTTTTCAAAGATCGCCTGTTGTTTGCTTGCTTGTCTCAAATCACGTGGCGAGAGCCCTCAGCTCGCAGTGAAGCCTGTTCTCCTCCCGCAGATGGCTCTGACTCCAGAGACAAGCCGAAGCTGTACCGCCTTCAGCTCAGCGTCACCGAGGTGGGGACCGAGAAGCTCGACGACAGCTCCATCCAGGTGCGCGGGCGGTGGGCAGTCCGGGGGCGGGGCTGTGACAGCGGCTCAAAGGTCGGTGCAGATGGCGTGCGTGCTGAACGGCGTGCGTGCTCCCGGCTGCGGTGTGAGCGGCCGTCCTCCAGCCTTTCCCAGGCCCTGGCCTGTTCACTTTTCTCCAGGACACGGGGCTGCTCTTATAGGATGCTTCAGGATTAAGGAGAGAATACGAGCAAGAGCGCCTGGGGTCCCACATGCAGTGGGAGGTGCCGGGAGGTGGCAGGTATCACGCCCGCTCGGCGCAGCGCTCGGGCTGGACTGGGCCAGGCCCCGCATGTCTCTGAGTGAGGACGTTCGGCCCTCGCCTCCTGGGGCCGAGCTCGGCAGGCCGCGCGCTCTCTGTGCCCTCATTGCTCAGCTGTGGAGCTGCGGGGTTGAGGACCCGTGTCATTTTCCTTCTCTGTCCTTCCCACAGCAGAGCAATCAAGCGATCTGTCTGGACGGATCCATTATCATCTCATAAGCACTCGAGATGATGCAGTTATGCATAATGCAGTTATGGTACACCTTGTATCAGGCTCCTGGAAGCTAAAAATAAAATAGTTCTTCTGACAGTATTTAATTACTGTTTTACTATTGGGGGCAATTCCCTGAAACCACCAAGAATCCAGAGTTTGTTAGGTTGTATTTATCATGAAAGGGGGGCTCAGAGTCTTAAAATTAAGTTTTAAATGCTCTATGCTTGACGGAAGTTCCTTGGGTTTTCCTTCCTTCCCAGTTGTTTGGTTCAGGCATTCAGCCCCATCACTGTGACCTCACGAACATGGACGGGGTGGTCACGGTCACGCCAAGAAGCATGGACGCTGAGACCTATGTGGATGGGCAGCGCATCTCGGAGACCACGATGCTGCAGAGCGGGATGAAGGTGCAGTTCGGGGCGTCCCACGTATTTAAGTTCGTGGACCCCAGCCAGGACCACACGCTCCCCAAGAGATCCGTGGACGGGGGCCTGACCGTGAAGGGCCCCAGACATAAGTCTGGGTAAGAGCACATGTGCCTTTGAGAACTCTGGAGGGCGTGATCATGCTGGAACAGATGTGAATTAGCCATGGACTGTGTGTTTTGTCATTTAATTTCTAAAAATTCAAAGTGTGTGGTCTATGGTTCAGGTTCGTGTTGGTTTGGGTTGATTTCAGAGAGAAAGAAAGGTCTTGACCTCGTCTTGAAATTGGAAGTTGTGGCTGGTTTTTTAAATTCTTTTTAAATTTTGTCTTTTAGCTGATACTCTAAAGCCATACTTTGAGTTACAGTGTTCTGAATCTAGACAGCTAAGGGTTTTGTTGAGGTGTATGTACCTTTTCTGTTACTAGCGATAAAAGAAAGGAAAGAAAAGAAAGTGAAGTCACTTAGTCATGTCCAACTCTTTGTGACCCCATGGACTGTAGCCTACCAGGCTCCTCTGTCCATGGGATTTTCCAGGCAAGAATCCTGGAGTGGGTTGCCATTTCCTTCTCCAGTGATAAAACACCGTCTTTTAAAAAGAATTTAAAGTGTTGTGGCTCCACCTAGTGCCTCTCTGAGGACCTGCGACCCAGGCCTGTGGCAGGAAAGGAAATGCTCATTGTCTGCAGGGCCGGGAGGAAGACGTCTTCTCTGATAGTAACTGTTGCTAGCAAGTGTGCTGGCCCACGGCTCTACAGCTGGTGTTCAGGCCAGCAGGTGCATAGCCTGCCCCCTGGTGTCGCATGCCCAGGCCACGGGCAGCGCAGGTCCGCCCTGGTCCCCGCCCGCCCTGGAGCCTCCCGGGGCGCGTGCTTCAAGCCCTGCCTGGGCTTTCAGTCTCCTCGTGTTGCCTCCTGCCGGCTCCTCGGCACGGGGCGTCCAGCCTCTGCCTGCCCTCTCTCCTTCCTGCCGGCTCCTCGGCGCGGGGCCTCCAGCCTCTGCCTGCCCTCTCTCCTCGCCACGCCTCTTGTCCAGCGGGGCTGGCTACTAGGCTTTGTGCTATCTCTCTTCCGATGGTGTTCATTGTGGCATCGCTGTCGCAAATGCAGTTCTGTAAGCTGCCTGTGTCCCCTGTTACAGTCAGTCTTTCAGTCTTGCTGGGATGTGTGTCTGTCTGAGAACTTGGCCTCCTGCTGCAGAGGGTCCTGCTTCATGGGGCTGCAGTGTCTAGTCTAGTTACGTCTCCAGATGAGCCGAGATTGTGTCAGGGTGGTGCTGCTGTGAAACTCAATCTCTAGTATCTTTTTCCTGCAAAACTAGTGGAAACTGCTTAGTAATTGATTATACCAATACTTAATGTACATCCATAAATAGAACAGACTTTTCATTTTTATAAAAATTAGTATTATTGTTTTAATGTTAAACCATTACATAAACTTCTAGGTAAGCAACTCGTGTATTCTTTTTTACACACATCTATGTATACTTTTTAAATGAGATATAATTTACATGCTAGTTCAGGTGTGGGATGTACTGATTCAGTATTTGCACATACATGAAATGGTCAGAATAAATGTAGGCGCTGTCCCTCGCCATCAGAGTTACAGGAGTTTATTTCTTATATGAGAACACTCAGCATTGCTCTCTTAATGACCACTGAACTCTGGTCACTGCTGCGCAATACCCCCTCCCTCTACTCACAAATCCTCTGCCTCTGGTAACCATCAGTATGTTTGTATCTATCACCTTGGTTTTTTGGTTATTATTTTTGATACGATTTTTAAAAATTTATTTTTAATTGAAGGATAATTGCTTTGCAATGCTCTGTTGGTTTCCACCACACGTCAGCGTGAATCCACCATAGGTGTACATGTCCGCTCCCTCGGAGCCTCCCTCCCCCCGTCCAGGTTGTCACAGAGCCCGATTTGAGCTCCTGTATCACACAGCAAGTTCCCAGTGGCTGTCCGTCTCTCCTTGCGTGACGTGCGTGTTTCTGCGCTGCTCTCAGTGCGCCCCGCCCTCTGCTTCCCCTGCTGCGTCCACAGATCTGTCCTCTGCGTCTCCACTGCCGCCCTGCACGTGGGTTCCTCAGCACCGTCTTTCTAGATTCGAGATACATATGTTTTAGTACACTGTTTTTCTGACTTGCACTTCACTGTATAATAGCTTAATCCACCTCATAAGCACTGACTCAGAATGCACCCCGTTTTGGCTGAGTAATGCCCCGCTGTGTGTGTGCCCCAGCTGCTTTGCTCATCTGTCCAGGACAGCTAGGTTGTCTCCGTGTTTTGTAAAGACTGCAGCGATGCACGTTGGGGCACGTGTGTCTTTTTCAGTTTTGATTTCCTCAGGGTATATGCTCAGTAGTGGGATTGTTGGGTCATGTGGTAGTTTTATTCCTAGTGTTTTTTTATTTTTTTAAGGACTCTCTATCAGTGTACATTCCCACCAACAGGGCAAAAGGGTTCTGTTTCCACCCCCTCTCCAGCATTTATTGTTTGTAGATTTTTTGAAGATGGCCATTCTAACCACATGAGCTGATACCTCTTCGAATTTCTCTGATAATGAATGAGGTTGAGCATCTTTTCATGTCTTTAATAGCCATCTGTCTGTCTTCATTGGAGAAGTGTCTCTCCATCCACTTTTTGATTGAGGTTTTTTATTTGTTTTTTTTTTTTTTCTGGTATAGAGCTGCATGAACAGCTTGTATATTTTGGAGATTAATCCTTGGTCAGCTGTTTCATTTGCTGTTATTTTCTCCCATTTTGAGGGTTATCTTTTCACTTTGTTTATAGTTTCCTTTGCTGTGCGAAAGCTTTTAAGTTTAATTAGGTCCCGCTTGTTTATTTTTGTTTCTATTTCCACTCCTCTGGGACATGGGTCACGGAGGCTCTTGCTGTGATTTATGTCAGAGTGTCCTGCCTGTGTTTTCCTCTCAGTTTTACAGTTTCTGGTCTTACGTTGGGTAGAATGGACATTTTAGCTATATTAATTCTTCCAGTCCATGAACACAAATATCTAGTATCTTCCATTTATTTGTGTCTTCTTCCATTTCTGTGATGAATGTCTTAAAATTTTCAGTGTATTTGTTTTTTACTTCCTTGGTTAACTTTAGGTGTTTTATTCTTTTTGATGCCATTGTAAATTGGAACTGTTTTCCTGGCCGCTCTGGCACCGTTGCCAGTGTGTGGAAGCAGCCTCTGTCTGGCCCTGCGGGTCCTGCCGCGGCACCCGGGTTTTCCTGGCTGCAGACCACAGGGGCCTCTCTAGTTGGGGCACTCGGCTTCGTTGCCCCAAGGCCGGTGGGGTCAATCTTACTTCCCCGACCAGGAATTGAACCCACGCCGCGTGCATTGGAAGGCAGCCTCTTCAACCCTGGGCCACCACGGGGGTCCCATGCATGGATGTTGAGTTTTGTGGAATCTTGTTCTGTGTGTGTTGAGATGATCATGATTTTTACCCTTCCTTTTCGTTAACGTGATGTACCACGTGGATTGACTTGTGAGTGTTGAACCATCTGGCCTTGCTGGGATCTGTCAGTGTTATCTTCGTGAATGAGCGTCTCACTGCACTGTTACATTGGGCTGCTGGTGTTCTGTTGAAACGTCCGCGTCTGTGCTCAGCGGGACTGTTGGCCTGAAAGTCTCTTTCCTTGTGGTGTCCCTGCCTTGTTTTTGGCATCAGGGTGATGATGGCTCATACAGTGAGTGTGAAAGTGCCCCCCCCCCTTCTATGGTTTGAATTAGTTTGAGCATTTGTGTTAACTCTTCTTTAAATGTTTGGTAGAACTCACCAGTGAAACCATCTGGTCCTAGACTTTAGTTTGTTGGGAGACCTTTGATTACTGATTCACTCTCCTTTCCAGTGATTAATCTGTTCAGATTTTCTATTTCTTCATGCTTTAGTCTTGCAAGATTTTGTTTCTAGAAATTTATCCATTTCTTCTGGGTTGTCCAGTCGGTGCATTGTTGTTCATAGTGGTGTGTTCCGATGTGTCTCTGTGGTGTTGACCGTAGTGTCTTTTCTCTCATTCCCAGTTGACTTGAGTCCTCTCTGTTTCTCTTGGTCGGTCTAGCTGCAGGTTTGTTTTGCTCACCTTTTAGAAGAGCCGTCTCTTAGGGGCTTTTCCGTTGTCTTTTTAGTCCCTGTCTCATTTATTTACACTCAGTCTTCATTTGCTGTTCTTATTCTGGTTCCTCAAAGGATGCATGATGTGTGTGTGTTCTTAGCTGCAGACTTGGTGTCTCTGTCTTCAAAGCCTTGGTGGTGGGGTATCCCCAGGACATCACAGTTGGTGTTGATGATCAGTGTGGGGTGATCGGTCTGGTGCTATGTCGATGAACCTGCGTGTTCATCTCGTCCACATCCCTGAACACCATGCCATCGTGAGCTCTGCCATCAAAGTCACCATAGAGTCACTTTGTAATTGTTCACATACCAAGAATGCTGTGCAAACGGGTCCATTTTACACTGGAAAATTCACAAACTCGCACAGTGGAAGAGCTTTTTTTCTTTTTTTTAATGCTTCTTTTCAATTTTGTGTTCCTAGTTTTAAAAACTCTGATCTTGACAGCACTCAGTATATGTTAGAAAAAACAGTTTATAAAGTTAGTATAGTTTTTTTTTAATTCATTAGATTCATATTCTGACAGTAAAGTGATTTCTTGAAGATCTTTGAACACTGGGATATTTAACAATTTGTACTATGAAGAAGAGACTGCCTCTGATCATTTGAGAACTATTAATTCTGTGGCTTTCTTTTTTATCTCAACAGAATTGTTCAGGAGACGACTTTCGATTTAGGAGGAGACGTTCACAGTGGAGCGGCCTTGCCAGCGAGCAGGGTGGGTGCTTGTCCGTCGCCGACGGGACTGTGTGAGCGTAGCAGGCGGCCGTGGCGAACCACGACCACCCCGCAGGGGAGCCTGGTGCAGGCTTTGCGGGGCCTGTGTGTGGGCATTCTGCCCGCTCTCCTCTCTCGTGGTCCGCGGGAACGGCTGCAGAGTCCGGGATCTTCCGCTTCCTCTCCGGGCCGTGCGTCCCAGCCTTGTCCTCTGGGACCACACTCCTCGCTCAGATCAGGTCACCCCAGAGGTCACGGCTGCTGCTCTTGTGACCTCAGCTTGGTCCCAGCTCCCGGCCGTCCCCTCCTCTCCGCGGTCACTGCGCTTGCCCAGGACCCTCCTCGCCTGCACTGTGCTTGCTCTGGGTAGCAGTCTGCCCCTGGGGAGAGGCCCCCTCCCCTGGGGAGAGGCCCCCCACCCCCCGACCTGGGGCCTGAGACAGCAGGCGTTTTCCTTCTCTGTAGTTGCTGTCTTGCTGCTGGTTCCTGGCGTGGGTTGGTTGGTGGCTGGGATATGGGGTAGCTGGGTCTTTCCACTTCCCTGTCACTGTTCTGTAATACAAAAATCATACTACATGCTGTTTACAACATGCAGAAAAGTATCTTTTCAAAGCAGGCTGTGTAGCCTCATTTGGGGGCGATGTGAGGAGTGGGGAGATGGGTTCTGCAAAGTGTAAATCTCTGCTTGGTGGGCTCAATGCCTGCGCTCAGCTTCTACAGGGAGGGGTGTGGTGAGAAGTCTTGCAGAGATTTTTGCTGTGGTGAACTTTGCCCCTAAGTGTATTGGTCTGTTCTGATGGTCCTCTGAGCATCGGTCGCCGTCCCCACCGGCTGCAGGCTGCAGGCCACAGGCCACAGGCACTGCTCGAAGGGGCGTCCATGCCCCCTGTGGGTTGCTGTGTGGGTGTCCTTCCTGTGTCGATGAAGGGCAGGAAGTGAGCTGGTTTCTGCACTGAGCTCTTCACTGGGTTTTGCGCTATCATGAGTGAGCTTGCACATTCTTTCTTGAAACTCACAAGTAAAACAGACACCTGCATCTTCACACCGTGCGTGTGCCCTCTCTGCTGCGTCCTGACCTAGGGAGCACATGGGGTCCAGACGCCGCGGGGCCCTCTCTGCCCACGCCCCAGCAGCGGGTTCAGACCCGCCTTGCTCTCTGCCCGGGACGTGGGCTCTGTGCTCGGGTGCGCGGCTGTGGCCCCTCCCGGTCTGCACTGTCCCCCTGGCCCCGCCCGTGTCCCCTGCGACGCCAGGTGTCACACGCGGTTGGCCGCGTGCTCTGTTTACACGCCTATGTCTCCTCGGCTCAGAGCGCCGCCAGGCTGGACAGCGACAGGATGCCGTCCGCCTCCAGCACTGCCGAGCGAGGGATGGTGAAGCCCATGGTCCGCGTGGAGCAGCAGCTGGACTACCGCCGGCAGGACAGCAGGTGGGGCCGAGCCCTGGGTGCCTGAGGGCGGGGGGAGGGGGGCACGGAGGGGTCTGGGTCAGGAGTCCACTCTCGAGGTCCAGCTGACACCTCTGGGATGTTGGCAGAACCTCACAGTTATTTCCGTTTCATGTCATCAAATTAAAAAAGAAAATGCTTCATCAACAATCGTATTCCTCCCTTTATACCTTGGCCATGTCTAGGTGAAATAGGAGGCAGTCTGAATTAAAATGTTTCTATGTTAAATGTGGTAGCTACTCCGTAAAGACAAAGGGAATTTTTAGAGGATTTTAGTAATTTGGTAATTTTTATATTTAGACGAGCCTAGTCATTTTACCCATTTCTAGAAGTGCTCAGGCTTAAACTGACATTGAAGTCATGTGTTTGGGAGTCACGGAGTGCCCACCTGCCCTGTCTCCTGCTCCAGTGACTCTGACAAACGGGATGTCGTTTCTTCTGCTGGTGTTGTTTTTGCGTAAATCCTTTGAACAGAGAGCTTGGAGCTTTTGTTACTTCCTTTAGGATTTTTAAGTATGTGTCACCTTAATAAGTCGGAGTCCTGCGTCCCCGTGACTCATAGCATGTTTTGGTGTGGGAGGGCAGATGTTCAGTTCAGTGCTGAGATGGAGGCGGCACCATCAGCAGTGGCCCTGAGATTGTTGACGGAGCCCTTCGGAGCACCCCAGTACAGGTCTGTGGCCAGGGCCTGCGTCAGGGCTGCTCAGGGGCCCGTTGGGACAAGTGGCCTGTGCAGTTGCGAAGTCTTGGCGGCAGAGGGCACTGTGAGCATTCACCCCAGTGACTAAATATCTGGATTCTAATGGGAGCCTCATGTTTCTACTTCGATTTTATTGTGTGCTTTTGGTTATTATTCAGTATTTTTTGTGAATTTTTTATAATTACGGTATGAATTATATTGCAGTTTTTTTTTAGCTGTAATAATGGGTAGTCTACTTTCTGTGTCCGTGCTTGTTTTTGGTAGTGTGTTCTAGAGTAAGATGTTCAGGATGGTGAGTTAGTATCCTGTGCAGAGTATCTCCGTCTGCTTATAAGGTGATCAAGATGTATGTATCGTGGTTCGTAGCCCACAGGTATTTGAAGAAGCAAATAACCGAGATGGGGCAGGGGTAGATTGATTGGCATAAAGTCTTCAGGATATGAAAAATTAATAAATATACACAGTTAATAAGTAAATGTAGTATCATAATATGGCATCAGAATAGCCATGTGATGATTAATTGTATGTCAGAAATTACTTTTTCTGTGAGCATATATTTTAATTAAATTTTTTGCAAGGTCATTTGTTTTGCCAAGACTTATTAAAATTTTACTTGAACTATAAATCTGTGTTACTTTGTTGATATGAAGACAGTAATGGAAATGTGGTTCTTCCTGGTCTCAATCTCTTGTTTTTCGCATCTCTGATTCTCTTCACTAGTTTAGTCATAGAATCTGAGAGGCTTCAGTGAATGATTAAATACTAATTTGAGTCAAGGAAGAAATCTTTTTGAATGATGCGGATAACTTTTAAAGTATCAGTGACACATTTCTTAAAATTTTCAGTGAGAATTTAAGTTCCTTATTTTTATTAGATTTGTTGAAGTGATAAAACATTTTAAAAAATTGGTAAACTTTATCCAGGTTCATGTTGTGGGTATTAAATTGAAAAATAAGTCCTTTGTCTGCAGTTCTAGATGTTTACAAATATGGCAGTGTAAGAAAGACGTATTAAAAATAATTGAGCTTTAGAATTATGTTTCTAAGAGCATTTTTATACCTGAAGTGTGGAGTTAAACCCAAATTAATAAATCATAGACTGGGTGATAAATTCAGAAGCACGTAATTTGGTGAAAAGAAGGTTTTTGTTTTCATTTGTGACGTCTGCAGTGGCTTGGATGGATTCCTGTTGTGTCTTCCCCTTGTGTCTTTGGTGCATGGAGAAGGCGGGCGCGGCAGGACGAGGCTGTTGCTGGAGCTGCTGCAGATCTCCGGGCCGGGCCCGTAGCCCTGTGGTCAGCTGTCTCAGTCACCCTGAGGTGCCGTCGCCGTGCGCCTGGACAGATGCTGACACAGCGCGGCCGCGGGCTGGCCTGGTGGGGACCACCCATCTGATTTGACCGGGAGAGGCAGGCGGTATCCAGCTGTTAGGGCGTTTTTCCATCTCACGTGTGAGAGCTCAGTTTCAGGCTCAGCGAGGTCTGGACGTTCTCTTTCTCCCGGTGGTGTCTTTCCCTGTCACTTGAGCCGTCGTGGTCGGGTGTGTTCTCCTGACAGAAGCAGATACCCAGGAGTTGACCCGTGAGCTGGGATGACCCCCATTCCCTCACCCGCATGTTGGAATAGGCTCCACGTGAAAATGAGCCAAAGCTCTGTATACAGTATCGACTTTTAAAAATAGTTGCAAAATCTGCACTGTTTGTTGGGGTGCTTTTAGCTAATGTGACCTGGTTTTAAGAGATGGCCACTTTCCTCTTTCAGAACTCAGGATGCTCCCGGGCCTGACCTGATCCTGCCTGCAAGCATTGAATTCAGGGAAAGTTGTGAGTAATTTCAGATTCCACTGGTAGTGAATTATTTCTTGTTCCATTTTTCCTCATATGAGTTTTCATGTTTTTTTTTTCTTTTTTGAAATCTTTTCACAGCTGAAGATTCATTTTTATCTGCCATTATAAATTACACTAATAGCTCTACAGTCCATTTTAAGTTGTCACCTACATACGTATTATACATGGCGTGTCGGTATGTATTGTCCAGCCAGTACAGACCTGACGTCAGCCCCGCGGAACGCACGCACAAAGTCATGGCCATCGTCAACAAGATGGTGAGCATGATGGAAGGGGTGATCCAGGTAAGTGCTGACTTGCAGGGCCGCACCAGCCCATGACCATGGCGATAACTTTTAAATCAACTAAGTCAGTTTCTTTTTTAACATTTCAGATTTGCTTACATGCTTGACTTTATCTGAATAATTTTTTTCTAAAGCAGAAGTTATATAAGCAGGATTTTAAATTGTATAGCTTTTAAAGTTGAAAAGAAATGTAAACCTTTCTTTTCTTTTCTACAAAATTTAAGGGAAGAGAAATTTGTTTGTGGTCGTATAGTGGTCATGGAAAAGACCCTTAAAATTACACTAGTTGTGAGAGGGCGTTGAGAATTAAAAAGTAATTCACATATCGTAAAATAAACCGTTATAAAGTGAGTAGCCGGGCCGCATTCAGGGCCCTCAGCACTGTGCAGATGCCTGTGCCTGGCTCCTCAGGGTCCCCGTCCTTCCTGACAGACCCCTCGCCCGCCAAGCAGTTCTCTGTATCGCCCGCCCGTGGGTCCCTGGCGACCACCTGCAGGATCTTTCAGTTGCTGTAGAAAAGGACTCGCTCTCTCATGGTGACCCGCCAGAGGCTACTGGTGGTTGGCCTCTGGGTTCCCATCATGGGCGTAGGTGTCATGGGCGTGATGACATTTCTCACTCACAGTGAAAATCAGGCTCAACTTCTTTCGTAAACCAGTTTTCAAATTTCAGGAAATTAGCATATTCTCTTTCTAGAATGATTTGTTTCCTTTATTCCTGTTTGCCTATGAAAAGTAAAGTTGCTCAGTCATGTCCCACTCTTTGTGACCCCATGGACTGTAGCCTACCAGGCTCCTCCGTCCATGGGATTTTCCAGGCAAGAGTACTGGAGTGGGTTGCCATTTCCTTCTCCAGGAGATCTTCTGACCCAGGGATTGAACCTGGGTCTCCCGCATTGCAGGCAGACGCTTTACCGTCTGAGCCACGAGGGAAGTCCTGTTTGCCTGTAGTTGATAAAATTGGCATAACAGATTTTCACACTTATAGGTAACTTGGAGATTTAATCTTTAAAGTCATTAAAAGTAAATTTACGGACTTCTAAAAAAGTTTTCCTAAACCACTTGTCAGCATTATTCACCTGTGACACTCTAGGTATGTGATCTCAAGCAACACGATTAGATGATTTGGTTGCTTTTCTCCTGTCAGGATAGTTGGAGGCAAGCTAATCTTTTCATCCCCTCAGAACTGTCATAGAAGGCTTTTTTAACATTTTCCAAAAAAGGTTTCTCCTGTGTGAGTGGTTAGCCTGTGACTCTGAGGAGTTTAAGAGTCTTCCCCTGAGGGAGGAAGTAGATGAAAAGGAAGCTCATTCTGTCTGGGCACCATGGTGTTACTCCTGTTATTTTATACGCAAACGTGGATTTCCTTTTCAGCGCTCGTTCAGAGCTGCCGTCCGTCTCCCTCGTGCTTGAATTTCGGATTATGAAACTCCCATCAGCAGACAGCTCTGAGGGGCTTTTATTACTGGGACTGGCAGTGAAATCACATTTTTAAGGCTTTCAGACTTAAGATGTAGGTTCAGCGTGTGATTAGAAGAACCTTGAATTTTTAGGGAGGAATTTTAGAATAATTAAAAATCTTTAATTTAAAAGAAACCTACTTGCAAAAAGCAATTTACTCCTTTCTAGTATAGAAATAATAACAAGTTTTTGATACATTTTAGAGTTCTCAACTCTTACTGTTTTTGTTGGTCTTTCCTGTGTCTTCATCGTTTTTAGCTGGTCCAGGGGATTAGACTCTGAAGTCATGTACCTTTAGGTCGTCTCAAACACACAGTGTTGCTCAGAGATGTTAGGAAGCCCATTCTTTGTAAATCTTTCAAAGAAATCAGTGTATTCATTTGTTCATTGCAACATCTTCTGTACAGACAAAGTCTAGGAATTCCCTCAGTTTTTGTGCCAATGTTAAGAGTAGGAAGCCCACCCTTTATGCCCTAGATTTCCCAAGCTCCTCACAGTCACAAGGAGTGTGTAATGTGGACTAGCGTAACTAAATGTCGTGCCCTCTTGTCGTGCCTTCATGTTAGTGTTCTGATTTTTTGACGATCATGACTGTTCACGAGTCTCTCTCTCTCGTTCTGCTTGGTTCCCTCGTCTGTTTTCCTCCAGGAAGTAGACCAGGTTGACCAGGTAGGACATGCTGCTGGGAGCCGATCCTGGCTGTTGGCTTAGCTGAGTTTCTCACGCTGCTTCCATGTCAAAGCGCAGAACAACGGGACTGAGGCTCATAACACTCATTCAGCAGCTGGAACATGCAGTACTAAAATCCTTTTTTGACTGTGCAACCTTTATCAGCATTTCATAACTTTTGCTTAATGCACTTCAGTGTGGATATGAAATGACAAAAGTTCTGTTTCTCCTCTTTGTTGTTTATCCTTGGTTCCTATTCTTTGGATCTCATCTGAGGTTGCCTGGCCTGCTCATGTGGTCGGGAGATGACGCGATAGATCAGTACTTGATACCGAGTTGCTTGGTGTCCACACCAGTGACTTCGAGTATCAGGGTGGCAGTGGGTAACCATGGATACATGTGTGTGTGCGTCACAGATTACCAGATAAAGTGCAGTCTCCAATTCGGTGTTGTAGTACTGATGGCTCCTTTCCCCACTGATGCAGTTAATTGTTGCTCACTAGAGCCATGTGTCTGTACCTGAATCCTGAGAAATTGCGGTGGGGCTTACTGCCCATTACTGCATCTGCAACCCAAATTCCTCTGCAAGTATCTGGTATCTGTGCTCAGTACCCTGGTGAGAATGGGGAGGTACTGGTCTATCTTCGGCAGCTTTTCAGGAGCATTCCTTTCGTTTGTGCTGTTTGTTTGTCCTGTGGCTGCTTACGGAGCTGCCTTCTGTCTGCAGAAACAGAAGAACATTGCAGGGGCCCTTGCCTTCTGGATGGCCAATGCGTCCGAGCTGCTCAACTTCATCAAGCAGGACCGAGACCTCAGTCGGATCACACTGGACGCACAGGACGTCCTGGCACACTTGGTGCAGATGGCCTTTAAGTAAGAACCCATTTCTGTAAAGACTTCAGTCATGCTTCTCATTAAATTTTCAGAACTCATCTTAAAGATTTTTATTCACCCTAACTGAAGATAGATATCAAGAAGTGTAGATGTTGTTCAGTTGCTAAGTCGTGTCCGACTCTTTGCCACCCCATAGACTGCAGCACGCCAGGACTCCCTGCCCTTCACCATCTCCCGGAGCTTGCTCAAACGCCTCATGTCCATTGAGTCGGTGATGCCGTCCAACCATCTCATCCTCTGCCGCCCCTTCTCCTCCTGCCCTCAGTCTTTCCCAGCATCAGGGCCTTTTCCAGTGAATTGGCTCTTTGCATCAGGTGGCCAGAGTATTTGAGTTTCAGCTTCAGCATCAGTCCTTCCAATGAATATTCAGGACTAATTTCCTTTAGGTTTGACTGATTGGATCTCCTTGCAGTCCAAGGGACTCTCAAAGGTCTTCTCCAACACCACAGTTCAAAAGCATCAATTCTTCAGTTCTCCGCTTTCTTTATGGTCCAACTCTCACATCCATACATGACAACTGGTAAATCTTAGCTTTGCCTGTACAGACCGTTGTCAGCAAAGTAATGTCTCTGCTTTTTATTATGCTGTCTAGTTTTGTCATTGCTTTGCTTCCAAGGGGAAGTGTCTTTTAATTTCATGGCTGCAGTAACCTTTCACAGGGATTTTGAAGCCTGAGATTGGATGCCATGATCTTACTTGTTTTTTGCCTTTGTTTTTTATTTTTCACTTTATTTTTAATTGAAGGATAATTGCTTTATAATATGATTTGATTTCTGCCATACATCAGCATTAATTAGCCATAGGTGTACGTGTGTCTTCTCCCTCTTGAGCTATCTTAGTTTTTGAAAGTTGATTTTCAAGCCAGCTTTTTCACTCTCTTTCACTCTCATCAGGAGGCTCTTTAGTTCCTTTTCACTTTCTGCCATAAGGGTGGTGTCATCTGTGTATCTGAGGTTATTGATATTCCTCCTGGCAATCTTGATTCCAGCTTGTGCTTCATCCAGTCCAGCATTTCACATGATATACTCTGTGTAGAAGTTAAATAAGCAGAGTGACAGTATACAGCCTTGATGTACTCTTTCCCAATTTGGAACCAGTCTGTTTTTCCATGTCCAGTTCTAACTGTTGCTTCTTGACCCACGTAACAAGTAAGATAGTCTGATATTCCCATCTCTTTATGAATTTCCCACAGTTCATTGTGTTTCACACAGTCAGAGTCTCTCCTAGTCAGTAAAGCAGAAGTAGATGTTTTTCTGGGCTTCTCTTGCTTTCTCTGTGATTGAATGGATGTTGGCAGTTTGATCTTCGGTTCCTCTGCCTTTTTCTAAACACAGCTTGTACCTCTGGAAGTTCTCGGTTCACGTACTACTGAAGCCTGGGTGGAAGGATTTTTGAGCGTTACCTTACTAGCATATGAGCACAACTGAAGCATAGATAGCTCCATGCAGAGTGTGTTGGTTTAGTAAAGTGAGTTCAGTTAGGTGTGTTTCAGGAATCCTGAGAGGAAAACTATTATATACATGTTGTACATGGAAAATATTTCCAAACAGTAGAGATTGTTTTCCCTGTGTGATAGTAGCAGGGCGTCATGCTGCAGTTATTAAAGCTGTCAGTGTTTTTCAGGTACCTGGTTCACTGTCTTCAGTCAGAGCTGAATAATTACATGCCCGCCTTTCTGGACGACCCTGAAGAGGACAGTCTGCAGAGACCAAAAATAGGTTAGGCCTTTCTCTTTCTGCTTCAGCCCCTCCTTCCCACCTCTGCGTTTACCTTCATTTTAATATTCGCGGTCTGAGGGGCGCTTATTTCAGTGTCCGCAGTCTGAGGGGTGTCGTCGTTTTAATATCGGCGGTCTGAGGGGTGGTTGCTTCACCGTCCGCGGTCTGAGGGGCAGGTGTGATCAGAGTCCCCAGGATGTCCTGCTGGTGTGGGGAACCCCCTTGTCCTCCATGCAGGAACAGCTCTCACCTTGGGGGCCCTGCTGGGGCTCTCGGTTGGTGTGGTGGACACGGGCGTGTGGCTGGACGGGCAGGTGTCGAGCAGATGGGGGCGGGCCCTGTGCGCTGACCGAGAGCCTTCTCCCCTCACAGACGACGTGCTGCACACACTCACGGGCGCCATGTCCCTGCTGCGTCGCTGCCGGGTCAACGCCGCGCTGACCATCCAGCTCTTCTCCCAGCTGTTCCACTTCATCAACATGTGGCTGTTCAACCGCCTGGTGACCGACCCCGAGTCAGGTCTCTGCTCCCACTACTGGGGCGCCATCCTCCGCCAGCAGCTCGGGCACGTGGAGGCCTGGGCCGAGAAGCAGGGCCTGGAGCTGGCGGCTGACTGCCACCTGAGCCGGATCGTGCAGGTGGGTGGGGCTGGCCGTGTGGTCCCCAGCGTCTCTAACTCCCCTGGGGCGTCTCGGCACCTCCCCGGGGTCTTCACGTGTGCTTAGGATAACAGTGGCGTACTCATCTGCCTGGGCCGTTCTAACGAGGTGCAGCAATTTCGTAGCTTAAACAAAAGAAGCTCATTGTCCTGGAGGTCAGAAGTCTGAGACTGAGGGCGGGCACACTGGTGCCCGGACGGAGAGCATGCCCCGGCTCCTGAGCCTTCCGCTGCCGCCACTGGTCTCCAGCATCCCACCTGCGCCTCCGTCTTCAGGAGGCCTCTCTCAGGCCGCATCTCTGACCCAGCCTCCGCCTTTCATAGGGACCCCATTTCTCCAGATGAGGTCACAGTCCGAAGTTTACCCCAGGTTTACCCCCTGAGGCTTGGGGTTTCACAGTGTGACTTTCAGAGGACACAGTACAGCCCATAACAGGTGGTGATCAACAGAGTAAACACCTAGAACCGTGAGGTGTGTTTCGTAAAGCTGTATACACTGAAAGATAAACTCTGATTTAAAAGTGGATGATAGCTGGCACTTTAAAGATACAAAGAATAAAATGGGATAACCAACAAGGACCTCCTGTATAGCACAGGGAACGCTGCTCAGTATTCTGTAATAGCCTAAATGGGGAAAGACATTGAAAAAGAATAGACTCATGTGTATATATAACTGAATCATGTTGCTCTGCACCTGAAACTAGCATACCACTGTCAGTCAACGGCACTCCAGTGTAATACGGAAAGTTAACACCCCGCTGTCGGTCGGCGGCACTCCAGTGTGATAGGGAAAGTTAACACCCCGCTGTCAGTCGGCGGCACTCCAGTGTGATAGGGAAAGTTAACACCCCGCTGTCGGTCGGCGGCACTCCAGTGTAATGCGGAAAGTTAACACCCCGCTGTCGGTCGGTGGCACTCCAGTGTGATAGGGAAAGTTAACACCCCGCTGTTGGTCGGCGGCACTCCAGTGTGATACGAAAAGTTAAGACCACAAGCAAGGTAACCCCAAAGCAAAAACCTATAGTAGAAACACAGATAAAAGAGAGAGGACTGTGAACGCCCCCTCAGAAACTCATCACGTCGCCAGGAAGAGGGCAGGAGCAGCAGAAGGGACACGGGACACACAGTAGCCTGGTCCTTGTGGCGTAGCCCGCTCTGGGGGTTGCCTGGTGCTCGGGGACTAGACCCTGGCGCTCTGCAGTTAAGAAAAGAGCATCTGTAACCTGTTCGGTTATGTTTAGTGTGTAATTTTGTATTTTTTTCTCAATCTCTTAAAGAGATACAGTATAGAGATTTCTGCCCTTTTTCTTTGATTGAATCTGCTAGTTACTAGAAGGGTCGTTACAATGTTATTTTATTCAGACCTTAGTAATGGTAATCTGATGGTTATATAAGTGTTAAAAGTTTCTAAGGTTTTTAAATGGTTTCTGCACATAAATTATTGAGTCTTATTATACATACAATTTTAATAAAAGAAGATCCCTTAGAGAAGGAGGTGGCAGCCCACTCCAGTACTCTTGCCTGGGGAGGTCCATGGGCAGAGGAGCCTGGCGAGCTGCAGTCCCTCGGGTCACAGAGAGGCAGACACGGCTGAGTCTGGAGTACGCACACAAGACGCCGTCCGCCACCTGTAACCAGGCGGTGCTTTGAGCTCAACTTGATGCACACAGGTAATGTGAATGGACGTGTGTTTTCTTAAAAACACCCTGCATTTTAAAGTCAAATTAGCAAGTTAGTTCAGTTCAGTCGCTCAGGGTGTCCGACTCCTTGCAACCCCATGAATTGCAGCACGCCAGGCCTCCCTGTCCATCACCAACTCCCGGAGTTTACCCAAGCCTATGTCCATCGAGTCGGTGATGCCATCCAAATATTACATAAAGAGGAATATTTATGAAATATTTTTAAATCATGGTAGTTCCTGTCGCTTGGTCATAGGCAACCACTTTGCTTACGATGGATAAGTACGCACCTGATGACATTCCAAATATAAACAGCACCTGCTTCAAGTTGAATTCCCTGCAGCTCCAAGCCTTACTGCAGAATTACCACTGTGCCCCCGACGAGCCCTTTGTCCCTGCGGTAAGTGGAGCACCAGTCACCATGCACCACGTCTGTGTGGGGAGAAGGGAAACAGAGCGAGAAAGTTTACTTGATCATCTTACGAGGTCACTTTTGCGGCTGACATCTGTAGGAGTTAAGGTTCCGGGCGAGAAGTAGAAACCACATAAGCGTTTTAAGTAGACGGGGATTTAACTCAGGGAATGAGGTTCTTGGAAAGCCAGGGCGGGGAGTGAGGAAGGTGCCCTCACCCTGAGTTTGGGGCTCAGCACTGAGACCCGAGACCCCAGGGCCCCTCACGTTGGCTGCTATCAGCAGGGCAAGGCCTCCCCCGGGGGCTGCCTCCCAGAGCTGCGCCAAGGCGCCTGCCTGGGGAAGTCAGCTCCTCACGCAGAGCAGTCTGCTGTTCAGAGAGCTCTCCAGAGGGCAGAGAGCACAGAGAACAGTGCGCAGTGCAGCCGGCTCTTTATGATAAACATTGCCTCAGCACAGCCCCACATTAACAGCAGCTGGATGCAGGAGTCCTGAGAGTTCCATGCGCAGGTGACCCAGTCCCACAGAAGGCTTCACTTCCAGTGCTGAGTTTATGCTGACAGAAGGCAGGGGCTAAATCCACAAGACCGGAACCCACTAACAGTCCCCAGATAGACTGGGTCACAGTCCCGAAAGGGGGCCTGACATGGCTGCACATTGGGAGGGGGCTGTAACCACAGAGGGTTAAGCCCCGAGGGAGGGCAGAGCCGCTGTCCACACTCTGGGCTCAGGGACACGGGAGGGCCCTGGGAGAAGCCTGGTGGCCGTGACTTTGGGGACACAGGACAGGGCAGGGAGGGCAGCTTCTCTGGGGTGTGGTTCTGTCCCCTCCCTGGGGTGAGGAGGGGGTGTTCACTCTGTGAACTGTTCTGTGTGTACCTTATCTAGTAAGTGAAAGTTCGTAAACAGAAATCACCTGTAAACCCATCATAAGGCAACAATCTGCATAACCTGGGACTACATATCTTTTTAATATTTGACATTGTGTGAACTTTTTCCTGTCATTAAGTACAAAAATAAGGTTACTAGCAACTCACTGTTTAAAAAACTGTGCAAGGAAAAAATTATTTTTGAAAAGGAAAAAAGCTTATTTCCTTGTGATCAAATAGTTTCTATTTAGAACTATAGGTGTTCACTTACAAGTTAGTATCTTTAGCGGAGACAGTAAGAGTGTGTGCCGTGCCAGTGCTCGGTCACTCCCCAGGCCGGTCTGAGCTGAGGATGAACTGGCTTTCCCTCTGTGAGGCGCCCCGTGTGTGTGTGTGGCCACACCGCGCATGACCAAGCGCGTCTGGTCATCACTGGTCAGCCGCACCATCCACCGCGCATCTCCCAAGCCCGTGTCTGTTTTCTGAGCAGGACCTGATCGAGAACGTGGTGGCCGTGGCCGAGAACACGGCGGACGAGCTGGCGCGCAGCGACGGCCGGGAGGTCCGGCTGGAGGAGGACCCCGACCTGCAGCTGCCCTTCCTCCTGCCTGAGGACGGCTACTCCTGCGACGTCGTCAGGAACGTCCCTAGCGGCCTGCAGGAGTTCCTGGACCCTCTCTGCCAGAGAGGTGGGTTGCCTTCCCAGCCCAGGCGTCTGCCCTCCCTGCGTGCCAGCGGCCTGGTGTTCGTTGTGTGTGTCAGGCCAGCCCCACTGCGCACACCTGGCGCGCTTCTGGGAAGGTCGGGGCCCGGGGCTGGGAGGGACGCGGTCAGTGGTGACGTGGGGTCAGAGCAGGCGTGGCGCAGCTGCCCGGGGCCCTTCTGCTCACCTGGCGTCACAGTTGGGTCAGAGCAGACATGCAGGGCCACCTGGGTGCCCCTGCTCACCTGGCATCGTGGTTCCTGCTCACCGGCCCTGGCACTGTCCTCCCTCCAGTTCCACGTGCACCTGGGGCTCCGTCTGCCCTGTGTGTGGGTGCCACCGGAGCATAGCGGTCAGCAGCAGGGCCAGATGAGCCCTGAGCCCCCCGTCACCTCGACCTTCCACCCGGGCAGTGGGCGGCCGCACCACCCCTGCTCTGGTCTGTATGTCTCTGACCCATCGTGACTCCGGGTGAGCACAGAGGTGCCGGGGCCAGGGGCTGTCTGGAGCACAGTGTGCTCTTCCTGACTGTCAGCTGGCGCTGATGAGGCCGCTTGAGAGGAAAGAATTGTGTCTGTGTTTGTGTGTGAGACAACCTTGTCACAAACTTTCTGAAAGATACTGTAAGATCTGACAGATGAGGGATGACGCGGGCTTAGTCTTATAAAGATGTCAGCAGTCCCTCATAAAAATATTAAAGATGTTCTTTAAAACGTCATCACATTTTTGGAAAAAACGTGAATGTGGCCTCCAAGGAAATGAGGACAGAGAGGAGTGAGGAGGCCCTCCTTCCCCGGGATCACTGTTCCGCTGGAGTAAGTCACCAATCTTGGGGGTGAGCCTGCCTGCTGTCTTCCACCACAGTTACTCTCTGGTCCCTCTGTCCTTCCCTTCTGTCTGTCAGGGGTTCTCAGTCTGACTGAGGAGCTCCTAGTCGAGTGGAGGAGACAGATCTGCAAGGAAGCATTTCAGTGCGATTCTGTAATTTCTCATAGACGTGAGAAGAACGCTGAAATAAAGTAGAGGTGGAAACCAGTTTTGCTTTTCTGCTTGGTGTTGAAATTACATTGGACCAAAGCAAATAGATTTTAATCACTAATAAGGCTGATACAAATACTTGTGTACAGGTTCTGTGTTCAGATAGACACGTGATGGTAAATGTCTGCTGATTCACTTCTCAGAGAGATGGGAGGTGTGGACTGAAAAGAGGGGGGCTCCGCGCCCCGGTGCCGTGCGCCGCCCCTGCCGGAGCCCAGGGCTCTGACACCGCGGCTGTTCATCCTCACGCCTGCCTGTTTCCCTCCCCAGGGTTCTGCAGGTTAATTCCTCACCCACGCTCCCCAGGCACCTGGACGATATATTTTGAAGGTGCAGATTACGAGAGTCACCTTCTGCGGGAGAACACAGAACTGGCAAGTATCATGAGGTGGCAGGCGGACCAGTAGAGGAACCTTGATTCCTTTCGATTTGAAAATACTTCAGGCTACGTCTCTACAGTCTCATCTATAGACAGATGTTGCTTTTAGGAATGCGCCTGTTTGGGGACTTACCTGGTCACCGAATGGCTGAGACTCTGAGCCCCCAACGCAGGGCACAGGTTCAGTCTGGTCAGGGAGTTCAGATCCCAGAGGCCACACAGAGAGGCCAGATAGGAACACTGATGCCTGTTGATAAGACAGATAAACCTCACACATGTTTTTTACATACATTACTATGGCAATCTTAACGGCTTTTATTAGAAAAATTTTTCTGTGATAAAAGTATTTTCTATTTTCTAGTCAGTCCTACCTTAGTGAAAATGTTAGTCACTCAGTTGTGTCCAACTCTCTGCGACCCCATGGACTCCAGCCCACCAGGCTCCTGTCCATGGAACTCTCCAGGCAGGAATCCTGGAGTGGGTAGCTATTCCTTTCTCCAGGACGTCTTCCCAGCCGGGGACTGAGCCCATCTCCCCTACCTTGCAGGCTGATTCTTTACCGTCTGAGCCGCTAAGGCTGCCCCTACGCTGCCTTAACTATGTACCAAATCATTAATATTTGCTATCTTAGTGAAAGACTGGCCAGTCCCATTAGTGTTTGCTGGCTCATAGATTTTAGGGGAAACCCTGCCTTGCTTCTTGCAGAGAATTTTAAATCAGAAAAGGAGCTTCACCATGTCTTAGAAAGGGATGCCAGACCAGAGTTGTCTTTTCCTACGTATGCTGCACGTCCGTCCAGAGAACACAGACGAGTCGTCTTTCCTTTTAGAACTTCATTGTTCTGTTTCGTTCACCTTAAGTAACTGACTCCTAAGCCACGCAAGGCTTTGGAGGAGCCCAGTAGGTGTGGCCACCTGTCTGGCAGGTAACGGTGGACAGGGCCCAGTGTGTTCCATGGCTGGGCGTGGCCGTTCGGCCCCCTGGGCCAAAGCTGGGGGCTCTCAGCTGTGAAGAATGACCACAAGTCTTCTGGAGTTCTAGAAACTTCCCGTGGTGGCCTCCTGAATTATCTATTAGTCACTCAGAACCACACACCTGGTTCTCACCTAATTTCTAAGAAGACAGATCATGTGAGGAGGCAGTGCTTACACATAAGGCAACGGTGGATGTGTGTTTTGTTTATTAAATCCAAAGTAGTTGTTTTTGCTCAGTAGAAAAACTGAGCGGTTTTGTTTTGCATTTGAGCATGTCCAAAGCTTGCCTTCGCTGGTGATTGCTGTTACACCAGGGAGACCGCGTTTGACTGTCGGCAGAGTGACTGCCACGCGTGCCCGGTATCAGCTGCTGTTGCGCTAATAGCAGCAGTTTCTAGCTTCCAGATTTTACAGAAAAACAAGCTCCTTAGATGGAATCACTGATTTTTTTTTCTATCTTTCTAGTTTATTTATGGATCTCTCAGGCAATTTTAGGTCCTGATGCTTTGTAGAAGCTTTGTCACTTGATCTTATTTATTTCCCTTAAAATATTCTCCTACAGACTTTGGTTCCAAATAAATAAGCTGTGTGTATAATCACTACTCTTTGGCATTGTGCCCTCATACTTACATGTATAATTAACTGAAATCCTGGTATGTGGGCCTGGTGATGTTCTTTAACTTTGCTAACTTGTTCACGTGAGGCGGGGTGTACTTAGACCGTGTGGCTTCTGTGGATGGCTTCCCTCTCTCATTGTCTGTGGATCTGCTGGGAACTGGCGTTACTGGGCACGCACTCCGTCCCTTCCGGCTGGTCTCCCACCACAGGCTCCGCAGCAGCATGCTGAGCTTTGGGCCGGCTGCTGAGGCTGAGCCGCGTCGTTTGCAGCTGAATTTTCACAAGAGAGGTTTGTGGTGGCTCAGATGATAAAGAGTCTGCCTGCAGTGCAGGAAACCTGGGTTCGATCCCAGGTTTGGGAAGATCCCCAGAGAAGGAAATGGCAATCCACGTCAGTATTCTTTCTTGCCTGGAAAATCCGTGGATGAAGGAGCCTGGCAGGCTACAGTCCACGGGGTCGCAAAAAATCGGACATGACGGAGCAACTTCACTTTTCACAAGATACAGAGATGCAAGAGCATCTTTGTTATAACTGTCTTCCCCTGGATAGTATAGAATAAGTTTAAATTTCTTCTTCAAAAAATGTCCAGTGATTTTGTTTTAAAAGATAATAAAGTAAAATTGTAATGTCTTTAAGACTAAGTTTTTCTTACATGGTAGTGATTCTAGGGTTGTTTTGTTTTGTAAATTAACATCTTTAAACAACTTGTAAATATTTAGCATTGTGATGATTCTCTTGATGGCTCTGGAGTCAAGAAAGAATGCTGGTACTTACTTTACCAGGTTACTCCATCAAGGGTTGGTTTTTACTGCTTCTGTTTCCTCTTTGGTTTCCGCCCTCAGTAAACTCTCTTTTCATCCCTAGGCGCAGCCTCTGCGTAAAGAACCTGAAATCATCACTGTGACCCTCAAAAAGCAGAACGGAATGGGCCTTAGCATTGTTGCCGCGAAGGTAGGACAGGGCGGGGGCGCAGGCTGCCATCCTCTGTCCTTTAAGCCTGAGTCGGCGGCCTTTCCAGCTCCGCGTCTGGGGGCCGGGCATGGGAATGAAGTGCTGTGCGCGTGGCACTCTCAGGAAACCTGCTCCAGAGCCCGTGTGTGGAGGGGCTCCTGGGGCCACTGGCCGCCTGTTCAGGTGCGTGGCCTGCTGGGAGCTGCAGCGAGGGAGCAGTGCCCCAGTCTTGTCTAGGGGAGCAGAGGGGGAGAGGGGGCTTCGTCCCTTTTAAAGACATGCGGTTCGCAGGTGGAGCTCGCCCACAGAAGGACAAGGGTTTGAAACAGCAAGGGGATGGGCAGGAGCCATGATCTCAGGGCAGGGGCATGTGGGAGGACTTCCGTGCCAGCACTGGAGCCAGGGGCTGGGGCGTGGCAGTGGGCGTGCTCCAGGGCACAGTGGCCAGCGGCGAGGCCCAGGACCGCCTGGCCCAGCCCACCAGCTGGGACTCCAGCTGACCCCTTCTGGTACAGGTCCTGAGTGTTGTGCTCGGGACAGCCGGAGCTGGTGGGGCAGGCGGGAGCAGGCAGCTGCAGGCCTGGGGATGCTTTCCTGTTTGCTTGTGTTGGATATGAGCATGTGGAACCCAGAGGGCAGGAGGCAGAGATACAGACTTGTTCGGGCTCACAGGTGCTGAAAAGGAGGCACCTTGGAGACTGTGCCCTGGTAACTGGGCAGTGTGCAGCTCTCGTGCGTGAAGGCATCCGTGCGCGTCTGTCCACCTGTGGGCTGGATGCTGGAGCACACATGCGTTTCTCCAGCTCAGCGGTGGCTTCTCCGGGACTTGCAGGGAAAGCAGGCCGTGCTGGACACATGTTGCGGAGCGGTGCCCTGCCGTGCCTGCTGTAGGTCTGTGCCAATGGCGTGGGTGGGCTCTGCCCGGGGTGCGGGGGCTCAGGCCCACCCTGCCCCCCGCTGGGGAGCCGTGCAGCCCTGGGCGTGGCTGCAGCTCGAGCCCCGGGAGGGGGCTGGGGGCCTTGGAGCTGGTCCCTGCGGCCGCCCGCCATCCCCCGTCAGCCTGGGACCCTGTCTGGCTGCTGTTTTTCCCTCTGAGCTGTCTGGGCCTTTGTGTCAGGGTTTGGCTCCGTCCTCCGCCTTCCCAGTCAGCCTGTGGCTTCGGGGCCGTGCGCCTGGAGGACTCTGATGTCAGCCCGCCAGCGCCCCTCCCGGCTGCGGCCACTTTATGGAATCCAGATGCCGAGGCTTGTCCGCGCCGTCCACGGTGGGGGCTGGGGGATCAGGGTGCTGCCTCTCACTCAGCTAGGGCCGGCATGGCGCTTCCTGTTTAGTTTGGGTTTTTAAAATAGAAACTGTTTCCTCCTTCTTATTTTTCTAACTCTTTTTAAAGTTTAATAAAGTACAAAGTAAGCGAGAATCTGAGCTGCCTGGTTACGTAAGAGCCCGAAATTGCCCAGGCGCTGCTTGGAGTTTCTTAATGCCCGCGGTGGTCACTCTTGAGAGACCAGCTGTGTGTCGGCTGTCGCCAGCGCGGGTCCAGGCAGTGGTGTTCCGGCTGAGAGGTCCATGTGCCCGAGAGAGATGTGGTTCTCCGTTGTCGGGAGGGCAGAGCCTGCGGTGAGTCTACTCGGGGCCCCGGTGGCCGCTGTCCGTCCCGTGAGCGGCTGCAGCCTGTTGCCGACACCCCACTCGGGGAGCTCGTGCTCACACACCGGGGTGCTTGCTGCCCTGCAGCTCTGTGCCGCGGCTTCTCAGGGCTCGGGAAATAAGAGGCTGTTCTGTACTTTTATACAAGAAAAAGACGAGTTGTGGTATGGTGGACGCTGCTTGCAATAGTGGTCGCAACTGCTGTAGATGCTGAGCACAGACGCAAGAATGTCCGCAGTGCAGGACGTTGGCCGTCCAGGTGGTGTTTACTGCAGGATTTGTCCTCAGCAGGTCTTCTCTGAAAGCATAAAAGTGACAGTTCCAAAGGTACTTATTAGGAGGTTTTAGTGTTTTACTTAGAAGTGAATGGCTAATTGAATCCTGGTTGTGGTCTAACTGTATGTAGTATTAAGTTTTCAAATCTTTGGTTAGCTTAAAACTGCTGTGCCTTAGAAAGGAGAGGGTGAAAGCAGTGTTCACCGACGCGTCGCCTCCTCACCACTGGACCAGTACGTGTGAGCCACGTTCAGTGTGTGAGGCTCCCGGGGCCTTCACGTGCATCCTCGTCGGGGCCCTGGGGGAGCGGCTGCGTCAGGAGGACCCAGGAGGCTCAGCTCTTTCCGGAAGCGCTCAGCTCTTTCCCGGAAGCGCTCAGCTCTTTCCCGGAAGCGCAGGGGGCCGTGTGACGCTCCTGCACGGCTGGTGCTGCGAGTCTGGACAGCTTGTGTTTCTGCTCTCACAGTGAAGTGTGTGAAGAGCAGCGCTTTCACCTCTGTTTGCAGTCGTGGCCTAAGTGCACGTTTCTTTGGTTGGCTGACACCCTGACTCAGTTGCACTGAAACAATGTCATTGGAACGGGAATGTTAGTTCTCTGAAGCAGAGCCTCCTTTCCCCCGGCGGTTCCCGTAGAAAAAGACGGTGTAGGGCGTCTGGGTGCAGGGCCGTGGTGGGGGGCCCGCCTAGGGATGGTCCAGAGAGTCCGGCCCTACCGGTGCCCTCAGCCCTGCCCGGGGTCAGGGCTCCCTGCACTGGCACTCCTGCCTGGGCGTCCATGTGCAGAGGCTGCGGGGCACTGTCATCACCTTCCTCTCTGAGACCCTCGGGAGGCTGCACCTGCACTCTGGAGACCCCTCCTTGCACCCTCTTCTGCCTGCACCCTTCAGGACCCCACGGTCCCCTGCGGCCCGTCTGGGGCCCCAGCATCAGAGGCTGTGTGTTTGCTCCCTTTATCTCACGGAGAGTGGGAAGATAGATAACAGGCTGTTCGTCAATTGTACTGAACGTAAACAGGAAACGAGTGCACAACCCTGACCTTGCAGGCAGAGGGGTGCTCACCTCACGGGGCTGTCCAGGTGGCCAGGATGGAACGTGTCCTGGGCATGGGTTTTGACACCTATTGTCTCAGAATTAAGGTCACTCCTAGCAGAGAGCACGAGTGCGGCGGTGTTGTTGAACCTCTCGTCTGAACTTCAGTTGTTCATGAATCAGAACTCTTGTCTGACCAGAAGCAGCGGCTCCAGACCCCGAGGAGGAGGCGGTGGAGCATTGTCCTCATGGCCTGATGAGTTTTAAACACGCCCGGCTCTTAGGTCATCCCGGCCCCTGCCTGTTTCCACACCTGGGAACAATAGGCTGAATTCATGCTCTTTGGCTGGCAGCTCAGTCTTCCTTCTGCTGCTGCCTTTTTTTCCATTTTGGATTGTGTTGTAATGATGTTTTTATGCTGTTAGTCACATCACACTCCCACGCTCAGTCGGAAATTGCAGCTGGAATGTTGGGAGCGTGGGCCCTTCTGACGGAGTCTCTGAGTGGGAGCTGAGCGCACCTGCGCTTCAGTCTTTCCCAAGGTGCCTGAGAAGGTAGAGGGGCGGCCTCCTCCAGACTCTCGGCCATTCCCTCGGACCGCAGGGCAGCTGCCCGAGAGGTGCGCGTGTCTGTCCGTGCTGGGAGGTGCGCGTGGCTCTGCCGGTGTCTGGGCGCCTCCGCCAGCCCCGCCGTCCCTGCGTACCTGCCCCGGGTAAACTCAGGTGAGGTACCACCCTCCCCTCTCCTTCTCCTTGAGCCTCCTTCTCTGCCCTCCTAAGGGAAGGGAGAGCTGCTCCAAGATGCGTTTTAGGATGGAATCCTGGGCTCACGCAGGCGTGCCCTCAGTGGTTCACCGTGGCTGCCTGCTCGGGGCCGCGGGCTGGCCCCCGGCCTCCTGCTGTGCCCCGGCCCCCGTGAGCGGCCCCAGGCGCTCGGTCCAAAACCACGGTACTTGGCGTGGAGGCTGGACAGAGACTGTAGGACTGTTCTGCCGTGTCACCCTCAGTAGCGCCTCTGGGAGACTTGATTTTGGTTTTTAGAAATGTACTTTTACTATTTAAATGGAATTAAATTACAAAATGGTAGCCAGTGGAATTTGCCATTCCTGATACATGTGGAACATATCACTGCTTTCCAGAAGGTAGTTTTTAAAAAGGTATTTGATTTGTCACATGGGGAGTGCGTAATTCTGAATAGTGTTTCTCTTCATTTTGATTTCATAAATAACAAATAGACCGAATAGATAAGAATACAAATAGACCAAAACGCAGTATGTCTTTTCAGATGCCAGTTTAGGTGTCTTTAGGCAGGGAGTCACTGAGATTTCTACACTGTGCGTTTAGTTATCATACTGTGGCTACTCTTCTCACAACTGGGAATCAAGGGGTATAATGTTAGCATGTATGTTGCATTGTGGGAAGAGTTTGTTTTTGCACAATTATCTGCATAATTACAGATTTATTGTTAGTAGCTGTGGTTACTGATGACATAGGTTTACTATGAAAAGCTTAGTTTTGGGGCAACATCGTCCAGTAACTCAGGCTATGTAGGTAAATCAAAATTTTCCATTAACTGCATTAAAAAAATAAGGGAAACTGAAATCAACAGTGTATCTCCTTGATGCAGTTGTGATTTCAGTGTCGTCACTGTGTTGCTGGTGAGACACTGTACGCTCTCCTACTCAGTCTTTGGAGTTGGGCGGACTTTGCTCTGGACCGCGAGTTTCGGTCGGGACGTGCCCACCCCAGGCCCCGCGCCCTGGGCCTCTGGCTGCCAACGCCAGCCCTGACACAGCTTCACCAGTGTCTGGAGGCTCTCTGCCTCCCCTGTTGACTGTTGGTCGGTGCTTAGCTAGTTCATCCTTATGTTCTTTTAATGACAGGTGGGATGCCTTGATACATAGCGGCAAGAAGGTGTAATTTCTGGACCCTATTTTTATTTGTTAATTTAAAAAGTAGAGTTACCGGAGAAGTGAATTGTAATTGTGTGTATTTGTAAATAGAAGAGGAACTTAATGGAATTTGTTCAATACTTTTTTAAGTTCAGTCTTACTGGGCTAGTGTGTACATTATTATATAGAAATAGGACATGAGTGGCTTAATATTTCTGAAACTAATTTTGTTTTGTTGAATTTTTTTATCAGCCTGTAATGTTTTTATTCAGATGAAGTGGGACTGGTGGCAAGAGAATGCCGTAGTGTTAAGGAAGGATTGTGTCTTGGTTCCTTCCAAGAGCTGACTTGCTCCCAGTTCAGACGGCAGTGGGCAGGCGCCATGCAGAGCTCACCAACTCTCTGTCCCCCAAGTCCTAGAGTCAGTCCAGCCAAGCCTGCCCTGGCCAGACTGAGGCACTGGATCACCTTAGCCCGGCACTGGATCAAAGGTTGTGGTCTCTGGGGCTGAAAGGATTTAATAGAGGTACTGTTGATTTAATATATGTATTTGGGTTGGCTAAAAAGTTCATAGCAACTTAACAGAAAAACCTATGATTTATCTGTACAGTAGTTGCATTTACAAATTTTTATGGTCAGTTTATAGCCGTGAGCTACACGTGAAATATGAGACTCAAATCGGCAGCTACCCAGCCAGAGAGGAGGCCGCCCCCCAGGGACAGTTGCTGCAGCATCGAGCAGGTGTGCGGGCATGGTGACACAGTGTAGGCAGAGCCCAGAGTCACAGAGCGCGCACCAGCGAAACGGTACGGTTGAGGCCACGTTTGGAAGGCACAAATGTCAACCAGAGTTTGAACACCTCTTAGAATATTACCCTACCCCCAGGAATCTTTTTAAGCAATTGTATTTCATGGTGCTTTCTCAGTGACTTTTTATTAAAGTCAATTCTTATGACCAACCTTAAATAGACCTTTTAGATGCTAGTGGTCTTTTGAATTGAGGTCCTTTTTTTCCTCAGATGTAAACCTTTTGTCACAATGACATATACTTAGAAATTGAACTTATTTGGAATTAAAAGAAATGACTGTCACTTAGAGTTTAGATACATTCCCATCATGTAAGAAAGTAGTGTTTCTCATCGCTTGGGTGCTGTCCCTCCAAGGACGGCACATGCTGTCACAGTCAGAAACGCTCAGGGTTCTCAGCTCTGCACCAGGAGTTTGCGATGTCATCAGTCTTGTGTCGTCAGCTCCCTGATAGTGGGTAATTGACTGCTCTGTGACCTCCTGTGTGTTCACTAAGGTAGCGTCTAGATCGACCACATTGCCGTGGCCTGACTACAGGGGTTCGGGAGCTCCCCTGGAAGGGAGCGGGAGGGGGCCCTCTGTACCGACTTCGGGAGCAAGGGCGGTGCCGTGGGAACACGAGTGTGCCAGGGCGGCGGCGTGCCTGGGCAGGTGAGGTGAGTGGGTGGGCAGGTGAGCCCAGGAGGCAGATGATCAAAGGATTCGGGCTGACCTGTTGCATCAGAAGGTCGTTGTATGTGGCAGGAACGTGACTGAGGGGCAGAAGGGGCGCATGGCGATGTGGTGGGTCCGCACTTGATGTGGGTGCCCCATGCAGGAGGCTTCTGCTTGCTTACAGGCAGTTGTCCACCTCTCGGTGCAGGGGCCTGTCTTCAGGAAGAATCTCCTAAGGCAGCTTGGATAGAGGAGCCAGCGGGTCAGTCTTAGGAGAGCGTCCATGTCTCGCCAAGATTGTTCTGAAATTTATAGTGTAAACTAATGCTTGTTTACAGATGTGACTTCAGTCAGATTTTTCATAAGGCTGTGAAATATCTATATTACGGGGTCAGTTACTTGCATATTTAAACTGAGATTTATTAAATTTTATATTGCATGTGATGTGTGGTAAATTATCTACTTAAAGACATGGTAGAGTTTCAGGTTGTGTGAGCTCTGTCCGAGGTTCATGTGGAGTCTGCAGGATGGAAGCTTGTGTGTTGTTCTAGAATGGCATGCAATGGCTGGTCTGAGTGGAGCGGCTGGGGACAGGAAGTAGGTGTGGAGTGCAGCCGTGGGAACCGGAAGCTGCGACGCGCAGACACCTCACGGATGGACTTGCAGCCAAAGCAGGCTCGCCAGTTCTCAGTTTATTAGGAGACAGGACCGTATTCCCGCTGTTTGCTTGTATCATTCCATTTTGTGACCTTAGAAAGATTAAAGTTTTTCTTATTATAGTTGGCCTAAATAAATGAAATTTTTCCTTTGTTGATAATAGTTTTATAAAGTATACTAGAAATGGGGAAAGAAGTCTTGATGTGATTGTTTTAAAATACCCATACATATTAAAATATCCGTACATATTGAAAGTGTATATTTGATATTTTGTTTACAGCAGCATTACTAAAAATACTATGTTGCTGGTATTACCGCTAGAGATTTTTTTAGTCATAGATGGTGGTAATTGATTATTTCATTAAAAGTACAGTTTTTATTATTTAAATTACCAGGACAGTATTGTACTCCCCAAGAATAGTGCTTGTGGAAATGCGGTGTGTTCATTTGCACTAAAAACTGGGAATGTGAAGTTTAGAAGTGTTGGTTTTCTCTGTCAGCCAGATGGAGAACAGAAGAAAAAAGTAATTATGTATTAAAAGCCTTTTAAAAAAAAAAATCTGGTTTAGTTATAAGGACATGATGGTGCAGTGCTTGCAGGAAAAGAGGGATTCTCGGTGCCCTGTCGGAACTGTCTGACAGGCACAGAGAAAGCCTCTGAGTGTAAGCTGCGTTGGAGGCGGGTGGTGTCTGTCTGCATGTCTACGGAGGTGGGGCGATGCAGGCACGCCGTGACTGTTTGTGGGATGAGCGAAACTGTTTTTCAGACAACTGGATTAGGTAACGAATCATGTATTCCACAGAAACACAAAGTGTTGAAGAAGCCGTTTAATCAGGTTGTGCGGGAGGGGGCCCCGCTAACCAGTGGGGCTGCCCTGGAGGTGGTTCCCCTCAGCCCGTCTGACCCTGAGCCCAGCCCGGGTTCAGGGAAGGCCGTGCTGGTGCCCCTGACGGCTGGTGGGAGCTGTGTTTGCTGACTCCTGGCTAAGAGATGGGCTGAAACTCAGAAGGTCACCGTCGCCGAGTGATCCATTCTTCATGTGCTCAGTCGTGTCCAACCCTCCGTGGCCCCACAGGCTGCAGCCCTCCAGGCTCCTGTCCACGGGGTTCCCCAGGCAAGGGCACTTGGAGTGGGCTGCCATGCCCTCCTCCAGGGGATCTTCCCAACCCAGGGATCAAACTCAGGTCTTCTGCATTGGCAGATAGATTCTTTACTACTCCCCAACCTGGGAAACCCATTGAGTGATTATACAAACACATGTCTAAACGTGTGTGTATGTAACCTCACATGTACCCCAAAGTGCAAGGTTTCCCAAGTACCCCAGTAACTGTGTGTGTGGCAGAGGGGCCCAGCCTGGAACACAGGGCGGGGATACCGCGTCGTGTGGAAGGACCACTGTATCCTCCGGGGGGCAGTCGTATGTCTGGACCAGACAGGAGACGAGTGACAAGGTCAGGGCAGATGTACAGACAGAGACAGGTCTTGAGGGGAAGAGTCGGGAAAGCCAGGCGGCCTCTGGGGCTGCGTGGAGTGTTTATGGAGTCTGCCGTAGGCATGTAGGCACAGGGGTCTGGGGTGGCGTTGCGAACCTGGGCGGGGGGTGCTGTCAGCTTCACAGCAGGGCCTCTGCTCAGCAGTCCTCCCTGACCAGCAGCCGCCAGACGGTCCTGGACCCATCCTGTTGACCAGAGGCGACAGGGAGTGTTGAGGTGGAGGTCATGGAGTTCCAGGGCGTTGTGGAAAAACGTGTCCATTAAGTCGTTTATCAAACCGTCTTTATAACTTTCTGTGATGCCTTATATTGTTGCTTTTGTGACACCATAAGTTCACAAACCAAGAAATACACTCAGCTGTAGAATATTAGCAGAAACACCCAGTGACATTTCATACCTGTGCACCCAGACGGGAGCGCGTAGCTTCAGGACTTCCTTAGCATTACAGCACACGACCCTTACATTGCGGCAGCGCGGAGTGTCTTCTCCATAATTGTCTCTGCCGATGTCCCGCTCGTCGTTTGCAACAGAAAGGTTTTTCTTGTTTTAAATTTTAAACTGTGTGTGCAGAAAGAATAGGACCTCCGAAATGGCTCAGTGGTCAAGAATCCACCTGCTGTGCAGGAGACTGGGGTTCGATCCCTGGGTTGGGAAGATCCCTCGGAGGAGAGCATGGCAACCCACTCCAGTATTCTTGCCTGGGGAGTGAATCCCGTGGACAGAGGAGCCTGGCCGGCTACAGTCCACGGGGTCACAAAGAGCTGGACACGACTGAGTGAACAACAACAACGACAAGAGAATAAGGGTGTGAGGGAGGCGGCTGACTGTTGGAACGCAGAGCCCTCTGGGGAGCTGCTTGTGCTAAAGTGATTATTGCACAAGTCAGCGCGGCTCACCCACTGGGAGGGAGCGCATCCCTGCCGTCAGGGCGGCGGGTCTGCTGTGGGCCCTCAGCTGACTGGTCCCCGCCGTCAGGGCGGCGGGTCTGCTCTGGTCCCTCAGCTGACTGGTCCCCGCCGTCAGGGCGGCAGGTCTGCTGTGGGCCCTCAGCTGACTGCTCCCCGCCGTCAGGGTGGCGGGTCTGCTCTGGTCCCTCGGCTGACTAGTAATTGAGTTTTCAGGAGTGAAAGAAAGGTGAAAGTGAAGTAGCTCAGTTGTGTCCGACTCTTTGCGACCCCATGGACTGTAGCCTACCAGGCTCCTCTGTCCATGGGATTTCAGGAGTAATTTTTCTTAATCTGAAAACAAAGTAGGTACATTTCCTGTGAGTTTCCTTATATTTACCGACATGTTCATTCTATTAATACAGTTTTTGCATTTCTAATTTTCATGTAAAAACAGGAGCTAAGAGTTTATTCCAGTCACTTACACACATTTTATTCTTTGTACTGTGTTGTATTTCTAGCTGTGTTTCCAATGTGGGGTTTTTCCTTGTCTTGTTTAGGGCGCTGGTCAAGACAAACTTGGGATTTATGTCAAGTCCGTTGTGAAAGGAGGCGCTGCAGACGTGGTGGGTATACAGTCAGGGTGGAAGCCCCCAGTGTGTTGTGTGTTTGTCGAAAGCCCAAGTCTGAGTGTGCTCACCGCTGGCCTCCTCCTCCCCTTCTCCCCCGCTGTCGCCCCCTCTTCACCTGCCTGCGCCTTGGGGTGCTCAGGACGGGCGGCTCGCTGCGGGTGACCAGCTACTCAGCGTGGACGGACGGAGTCTGGTGGGACTCTCTCAAGAAAGGTACCATTTATTTGTTTAAAGACGACAGTATGCACTTCTGGGGGTAGTTCACATTAAATTTTGGAATTAGAAGACAGAAAACCTCGCTGGAAGCTCTGCCCCTCCTCTTTCAGAGGAGAAGACTTAGCAGAGTGTGTGTATTTTACTCTGAAAGGCGTCCTTGCCTCTAGCGCATGCTCAGATCTCTGCAGGTCGCAAGGCAGCGACCGGAGCTGTGTGCAGAGTTGTCCTCAGAGGCAGGGCGCCCGAGACCTCTACTCAGACTAGCGGGAGGACGCAGGGTGCAGCCCACCCTGGGGATGGGGGGCCTGCCCATGCTCCCACCCTGTGACCTCTCTTCCCAGGGCAGCAGAACTGATGACAAGGACAAGCTCCGTGGTGACGCTCGAAGTGGCAAAGCAAGGAGCCATTTACCACGGCCTCGCCACCCTGCTCAACCAGCCTTCCCCTATGATGCAGAGAAGTAAGGGGGGGCGGAGGGGCCGTCTCCTCCATGGGCTGCGACTGCCTGCCGTGGGCCGGGCAGCCAGCGTGAACCTCTTTCAAAACTCACAGACCCTTCGAAGCAGGCCCTGTTGTGTTCATTGTCCTGATTCTAGAGAAGGGCGTGGGGATGAGCACCCTCGAGCACGGTGCCTGGGATCGCAAGCTCATGGGTTCCCAGGGCCCAGGCTAGGTGTGGCCAGCCGATCTTCAGACATGGTGCTAATCTGGCCTCAGCTGCACAGGCCTGGTGACTGCGGGGGACCCCAGTGTCCCCCATGCCAGCACCCAGGGAGCGCCGTCTGTGGTGAGGGGAGGAATGACTTTTCAGCTCTGACAGGCAGTCACAGGTTGTGAGGTCTCAGAGAACAAGCAGGCAGAGTTCTCTCCTGAACGACTGTTTGCGAACGGTTAGGTCCGGCGCACGTGTTCCGAGACAGGACACGATTGTTACGGGGAGAGTCCACCCTAAGTAAAAGGTCAGCTTTGAATAATAATTTGCTGATAGGAATCATGGTTTTGTAGGTACATCAAAAACCTCAGAATAAAGTCAACATAAACGTCAGGCTTTTTAAAGAATTAGTTCAGAAACCAGGGAAAACTGTTCTGACTCCCATTATCTTAGAAATTGCTGTCTACTTTGCACTTCCTTGGCTCACCGTAGGTGAGTAGGTCGCTACCCTGGGCAAGCCCAGAGCCTGGCCTTACGCTGGCCTTATGTGGGTCACCCAAGAGCCTGGGCTGCTGTGCATGGAGACGGGCAGAAGGCATGGCCTTCATATACGGCACCTTTTTCTTTTTTTTTTTTGCTTTTTTCATAGCATAATACTTAATGTATTGGTATTCTGATCCCCAAGTTTATAGTCATTTAAAAGAAGCAAACTGGATGATGAGTTAGGAATCACTGAGAGAAGGCGTTGGAGCCAGACGTCAGGGCCGTTTGGTAGCAGGACGGCAGGGTAAGGTGTAAGGAGTGAGCGGCCACAGCCGGTGAGAGCGGCTCAGGAGGAGGACGCCCTGAGCGACGGAAGAGCTGACGCAGGTCTGCAGGTGCGGGGGGGCGTTCACGCTTCAGCTCAGCCGGGGTGTCCCAGTGATGGTGGTCTCGTCACCGAAGGAGGCGCGCTCCGAGAGCGCACTGCCCACCCGTGTCGCTTTCTCTGAAGCCCCTTCTGGGGAGGAGTTAGACAGACTCTGCTCTCCTGTAAAAATACCTCATTTCTTCTGATGAAAAACCAGTTCTTACCTGGGGAGTTTTAGATGTTGGTAAATCATGTTGCCTTTAAACCAAACAGTGTGTAAGATACAGTCGTGAACAAGCGACCAGATCTTGAATGTATTTTGATTTCAGTTTCAGACCGCCGTGGGTCAGGTAAACCCCGACCAAAGAGCGAAGGCTTTGAGCTGTACAACAACTCGGCTCAGAACGGGTCCCCAGAGAGCCCGCAGACGCCCTGGGCCGAGTACAGCGAGCCCAAGAAGCTGCCGGGCGACGACCGGCTGATGAAGCACCGGGCGGACCACCGCTCCAGCCCCAATGTCGCAAGTGAGGGAGCCCTGTGGCCCTCCCCGAGGCCTGCCCCACACACGTCTGTGCACCGCCGGGGTGGGGGCACTCCGGGGCTGTCGGTCATTAAAGAATGTTCTCGCCTGCAGAGATAAGCCACTGGGGTGTGTTTCTCCTGAGAGATGTCACGGCTAACATTCTAACGGGAGCTAAAAGCTAGTCTGGGGGCCTTGATTCCGGGGGTGCCCTGGGCGGGTGCGCTGATGCGGGCAGAGGGTAGCCGGCTCTCCACAGCACAGACAGTCTCTATACTGTAAAGGGTTGTCGGCAGGAAGCAGCAGGCACAGGAGGCTGTGCTCCAGGTGCCAGAGTCGCAAAGCCTGAAATAGTGTCCCATCTGGCCCTCTGTCAGACAGTGGAGAGGTCTGCCCGGCCCTGGTCTGCACAGGAAACTCGGGGCTCCAGGCCCAGTTATTGAAGAGCCCCTACCTCCGCGGGCCTCGGGCTTTCGGTCTGTGCTCTGCTCCTTACTGGCACTGATGCCAGCCGACACGGGCGCTGCCCATGAACAGCTGCCGTGCTGTGACATCAGGGTTGCTTATTTAACACTGAACTTTCTTTCCTGTCTCCCACCAACAGATCAGCCTCCCAGTCCTGGCGGGAAGAGCGCGTATGCCCCGGGAACAGCAGCCAAGATCACCTCTGTCTCCACGGGGAACCTCTGTGCTGAGGTCTGGGCAATGCACAGGCCGACATGGGTTTCCCAGAGCGCCTGTGTCCTCCAGGAAAACGTCCCAATGGTTGTGGCTCCTGAGCGTTTGGGTTTTAAGGTTTTAATACAGTGGGTCAGTCAGCTTTAAGTTAGCAACTCAGCACAAAAGAAAACGTTTTTATTATTCTCAGTATAGGACTGAACACTTTACATTTTTAACATTTTTTAAAATACACAGCTTATATTTTAACACAGATCCCTGAAGGTATGTCAGTCTGTGGTTCAGACTGCTAAATGCTGCTCCCCCAATCCGCAGGAGCAGACGCCTCCGCCCCGCCCCGAAGCCTACCCCATCCCCACCCAGACGTCCACCAGGGAGTACTTCACCTTCCCGGCCTCCAGGTCCCAGGACCGCGTGGCGCCCCCACAGAGCCAGTGGCTGGGTCTCGAGGAGAAGCCCCACGTGCTGGCAGACGGGGACCACTCCAGCGCCGCCGTGCAGGTGAGAGGCGCGGGGCCAGGGCGTCCCCAGCCCCCAGGAGGCCAGCGCGGGCACACAGCACGGTCGGCGTTGGCTGTAGTGCGGTGCTGGGGCTGCAGCCGCCTCTCTGTCCTGGGCTCTGTGGTCAGGAGGGAGGAGGCCTGACCTGATGTGTGCAGGCCTTTCCAGGCGCTTGGTGAACGTCTGCGGTGTGCATGGCGAGGCTTGTAAACTGTGGGAGGCAGGCTGAAAACCGGGACCACGTCCGGGCACATGGTTGTCCACGCCTGGGGAGGCAGAGAAGATCCTGGTCCCACCCACCGATGGGGCTGAAGCTGGGGCGGGAAGCCAGCAGCCGGAGGAGGAACAGGCAGGGCAATGGGTGTTGGTGCTGCAGCCCAATCAGAAGCCCTCCGCCCACCAGGGCCGGGCCTCGAGCTGCGGACGGGGCATGTGGCAGGTTCCGGCGGACAGGCTGGGTGATCACAAGGAAGGGATTTCGGGGCCAAACCCAGGGCCTGGAGTTTTATGAAGTTAGCAGATAACTTGGATAACACATCCCTGCTTTACTTGGAGAGGTCCCAGCCTCCTCTCCGCCAGTGCGGATGCACCCAGCCCTGCCGCCTCCGCCCCGCCCCCCCCCCCCCCATCCCGGGATGTGGATGTGGCCCCGGCAGGTGGAAGTTGAGCGGGGTGGGGCTGTCGGGGTTCTTTCCTGTATGAAAGGTAACTGTCCACACTGAAAAACTGGGGAAAGAAGTTAAATGTTCGCTTAAAAGTAGCCTAGCCTAGGCTTGGTGACAATCACGTGCCCCACTAATTCGAAGAGACTGTCCTCTTGGGATCGCAGTGGTGGAGAGACGGTTCTCCTGGGAGGGGAGGGGTGTCTGCAGTCCAGTCGCTCACTTCAGGCGATTGAGGGGTGTGGAGGCAGAGGCAGTCGCCCGCTTGTCCTGGGATCGCAGTGGTGGTGAGACTCCGGTTGAGCTGGGTCTGGCGGGGCCTGGAAGGCAGGGAGGGTGTCTGCTGTCTCGGATTCAGGGTCAGTCCAGTCGCTCAGTTCAGGCGCTGACCCCTGCTGCACCCCGTCTGCCCCCAGGGGTGTGGGGCGGAGGCAGTCACCGCTTGTCCAGGCATGGGAGTGGTGGCACGGGCCTCGCTGCAGTTTCCCAAACGCCCGCTTCTCCTGGGAGGAACCTCGGGGAATCTCAGGAGCCGCTGTCGGTGGCTGAGGTCCGCGTCCCTCTCTCCCTCCAGCGTGTGACCCGCTCCCAGGAGGAGCTCCGTGAAGACGCCTACCACCCCGAGCGGCAGCGGGCAGAGGCGGCCGCGGAGCACAGGTTGGACGGCAGCGACGCCTGGCCAACCCAGGGCTCGTCGCTGGGCTCCAGCGCGTCCAGCCAGGAGCACCTGGGGCCCCCCTCTAAGACGGGCACCCCCGCCTCCACACTCACCAAGAGCGGCCCCGGGCGCTGGAAGACCCCGGCCGCCTCCCCACCCGTGCGGACCGACCCGGCCCTGCCGCCACCACCGCCCGCCGGGTCCTACGCCGGGGAGGCGGACACGGACTCGCCCCCGCCAGCTGCCGCTGCCGCCGCCCAGGCGCAGGCAGCCGCCGAGCGGAAGAAGCGGGAGGAGCAGCAGCGCTGGTACGAGAAGGAGAAGGCGCGCCTGGACGAAGAGCGCGAGCGCCGGCGCAGGGAGCAGGAGCGCCGGCTAGGCCAGCTGCGCGCGCCCGCGCCGCCCCCCGCTCCCGCCCGCACGCCGGACACCGTGATCCGCGAGCTGCAGCCGCAGCAGCAGCCGCGCACCATCGAGCGCAGGGACCTGCAGTATATCACGGTCAGCAGGGAGGAGCTGGCCTCCGGGGACAGCCTGTCCCCCGACCCCTGGAAGCGCGACGCGCGAGAGAAGCTGGAGAAGCAGCAGCAGCTGCACATCGTGGACCTGCTGAGCCGCGAGATCCAGGAGCTGCAGGGCAAGGCTGAGCGCTCGGCCGAGGAGAGCGACCGGCTGCGCAAGCTGCTGCTGGAGTGGCAGTTCCAGAAGCGGCTGCAGGAGTCCAAGCAGAAGGACGAGGACGACGAGGAGGAGGAGGACGACGACGTGGACACCGTGCTGCTCATGCAGCGCCTGGAGGCCGAGCGCAGAGCGCGGGTAACGGGCCGGGCGGGCGGGCGGGCGGGGCGCCTTGCGGGAGCCGCTGTCCCCGGCGACCAGGGCAAGCCGCTCCCGAGACTCGCGGTTCCTGCGGCGCGCGGGGCACTGAACCGGTGCTTCAGCCCTCTTCGCCAGCGCTGGTGGAGACCAGTTAGGTAATAGCCAGTGGTCACCGTGATTGGGGGTGGTTGCTGAAATGGCCGGAGAGTCCGTGTCTGGCTGGCTGGGTGGGCCAGACTCTTACCTGCCCAGCTCCACTACTGGAGCAGGAAAGCCTCTGGCAGCACCAGGTCGCCCCAACTGTGCAAAGGGGTGGCCCCTGGTCTCCACCATCCGCGCGCTCCGGGTCCAGGAGGGGGCGGGGTGGGGCTGAGCACAACCGCAGAGTCAAGTTTGTTGTCACCCTCAGAAACAGACTCTGTGTGGTCCTCACACATTGATGAAGTGGATGTTATTAAACCGATGAGCATTATGCTTCAGTGGTAGCGTACAGGCACTCAGAACTTAGGACTTTATAGTTTTCCGTGTGATGGAAGTAACTTCTGTTGCCTTTGTATCACATAAAAGAAGAAAGTAAAATCCATATAGTTTAGGGCAGTATAGACTGTTAAAATGCCAAATCTAGTACCCTTTGTTGCCCTCTGAGGAGAGCTGTTGACAGAGAAGCACTCATTGGTGTCAGTTGCAGCGAGTGCTGGTGACCGTTTTATGTTAACGAATTTTAGTCATGCTCTTTTTTTTAGTATAATGCAGTATTGCGAGAAAAGACAGCAAAGGGCATGTCCTTTCTGTCTTTGGATTTTGTTTCTAATTCCCCCTCTGATGCCGTCTGTACTGAAGACCTGAACCAGTGGCTGTGCTGTCAGACCCTCGAATCTTTTCAGCTCAGGATGAGAGTGCCCTGAGTGGGCAGTGTGGGCCCTTAAGGCCTTGGACGTCACCGAATACATTTCTTGTTAGATACATGTTAGCAGACAGACATGCATATGACTTAATTCAAAACTCAGAATCTCTCTTGAGAAGCTTGTTTCATAAACAAAGGTCTAAATGTTAACTACTTCAGTGTGTTATGAGGTAAGTCATCAGGAGTGCACCTCCTCAAGAATGACTGTTTCCTTTGACAGACAGCTGTTTGATGAATAATTACCTGGAGCATAAGACTCCTCTGAGCTGTCCCCACCTTCTGCCTAACGCCCTGGCCCGGTCCGTAGGCGGTCAGCAGAGTCGCCTGCTGCACCCAGTCCTAGTGGACGCGCTGCAGGCGGGTCCCGGCCCGGCTGCCGTGGCCGTGGCCCTGGGCTCTGCCCCGTGCGAGGAAAGAAGGCTTAACTCTGAGCCTAAAGCTGAGGTTCATGGTAAAAGTTAGAGACCACGTCATAATATTTCTACAGTTATTCTTTTCTCTGAAGACTAAATTTTTATTGAAGGTCTATCAGTTTTTCCAAGTGATTGAGACGCTGAATATTTCAAAGCCTTTTAGTATGAATCACGCTATTTAGAAAGTTCTTTATGATAATTTAATTTAAAATGTTTATCATTAATTATGTTTAGATTAATATCTTAGTCTCCAAGTAAGAGTGCTGAGGGAAATTTTACTATTTTTAGTTTCTGTGTGCTTACTAATGAAGCTCAAGTATTTAATACCATGTGGGCACTTCTCTGTTTCTGAGTGCTGGAAGTTGGTCTAGTCTTGACCTCTCTCCTGGGCTGTCCTCAAGCGCAGACGAAGCATGAGAGCCGCAGAGGTGCTGACGGCGGATCCAGGTCCTAACGGAACCTTTTTTTCACACTTCATCTTTCTGTTTTTTCCTCTCTGTTACCTGCAGCAGACTGCTATGCCAGCAATCTCTGTTCTAGATTTGGTATGTTCCTGTTTCTTTCCCTTGGGTACCTTTTTCCTGTCTGATTTCCTCTTTTCCTTTAGTGGTGGTGGTTAGATGTTTTCAGTAGATCTGGTCCTAGGGGTGTCCTAGATCAGGACCTTATGTAGTTCCCTGACTCTGGAAGCATGCCTTTCAATGTGTTTAGATGTAGTTATCCTTTGCTCTTCTCTGTTAATTTTAAGTGTTACTTACTGTTTGTTTTTGGTTTTGACCTTTACTCAGTTTTAGTCCTAAAGTTCATAGTATATATTCCTGCGTACTCATGAACACAGCAAACTTTGCAGTGAGTAATGACTCATTCTTGTTACATTAGAAGTACATTTTAAGTATCATTAGAAGCTCAGTTCAACTGGTTCTGACATTGTCTGCCAATTAGGATGTAACTGTCTATTGGTAGAGAAAAAGGAATTTCTAGTAAACATTACTCTGTTTTAATATCACATAATTTTCGTTTAACGTACCAGCCATACCAGTCCGTTGCTGAATAACACTCGTTGTGAAAAATAGTCACATTGTACAGTAACGGTGGTGTGTCTCACGTCTACATTGGGGAGATTGAGTGGGTTGTAATAGCGTCCACTGTGCTTGAGAACTGGGTGTCTGTCGCTGACGTTCTTAGCAGGGTATCGATACTGACTCTTAAGTAGCTTTTATTGCTGGTCAACTTTTAAATGACGCAAGGCCAGAGCTAACCATCCTTTGAGAAAAATCTGAATCCAGGCTTGACTTTAATGGCCTTTTTTTGTTCTGTTTCTCTTTTTGAATTTAAACATCCTGGTGGCATTGTCATTGCAAAGGGGACCTCCTCTCCTTGGTGACTGAAAGGCGTATCTTCTGAGCTTGACTTTTTCTTCCACGTGAGACAGAGATAGGAAGCGTGCTTTTCTCTCTGCCTCTATGTGTTGAGGTGTCTGTGGGGGGAGGAAGCAAGGGAGCACCAGTCACCTCCAGCTGTTTCTGTACTTATCATGTCCTTATCACACGTGTGGGGCCCAGGCCAGCCTGGGGCCCCAAGAGAGCCCCATGTCTGTGTCTGTGGGTGTGTGACAGGTGAGTCACAATTTGTTAGGATGGGGTGTACTGAGATTTTTGTTTCAGGGTTTTTGTTTCTTCAAAGATGATTATTTCTAGTGTTAATATTGACAGGTTTCTTAGCCCTATTGCCCCGAAGATGTTAATGTTATCGCTGAGTTCTTGCCGTGTCCCCAGGGGTAGCTTTGCTGCCAGAACCCCCGTGTCAGGCCCTGGCTTCCCAGAGATGCTGGGCTCCACAGGGAGACGCTGGGCTCCACAGGGAGATGCGTGGCCGCTGATGCGGGTTGCTATGGTGACGAGAAGCGGAAGGGCTGCCCGGCTCCGGTCTCCCGGTGTCCATCGCTCCCTCCATCCATGCCTGCTGCCTCCAGGCCCACGGCCCACGCACCCCACCTGCACTCCATCCTGCACTCCACCTTCAACTCCTGTGTGCACGCGCCCACCTGACCGCTTTGCACCTGTTCTGAGCTGACTTGCCCCCTCCCCCAACTCTGCCCGCATGCCGCCTCCCGCCGCGGGAGTCTGCGTGGGGCGTGCGGAGCCCCGCCTCAGGCTCTCTCTGCAGCCGGTGTCTCGGCAGCTGTAGGCTTGCCTTGGAGCTCTGAGCCCACGCATCTCCCTTCTGCTGCAGAGGAGGGGAGGGAGCCCTGCAGGCTGAGGGCCGGGGTTGTGTCCCGAGTGAGGGGACCGCGCCTCCTCCCCAGGGCCGCCCCGCCCCGGCAGACTCCTCTGGGGGACGTGGCGGGACTGGGACGGACCCGAAGCCCCGTCCTAATGATTGTCTAATCGGGACGAGTCATCTTTACTGGAGCCCTTGACATTCTTTAGGGTGAATATTTTTAATGGGTCGGAGCATGAGCAGAACAGGCCAGTGGGGAGAGAGGTTTCTTACAGGTTGTGTGCTTAACGGACTTGTAATTGCTCTTCAGAGAAAATGTCAAAAAGCAGGGGGTATTCTGACCCTCTTTCCTACTCAGATATTTCAGTGATTGTCTGCCTTAATGGAATTTCTGTTGTAAAGATGTAATAAATTAGTATATTTTTGTGGTACAAAATTATAAACACAGAGATCTCAGCATACTGTTTTTTTTTTTTATCCCCTGAAAATACCTTTCTGAGAAATGTGGGCTGCATCAGTGTTGTAAGAAGTTGGTTCAGGCTTGCATCCTGCTTTTAAATCCCAGCACAATAGTTGGTTTCAGTGACTGTGGTCTGGGCTGGGCTGACTAAGAATTACTGTTGGATCTGTTCAATGTGCTTCCCCAAATACAGCTTCCTGCCTGCCTGTTTTGGTAGCATGCGACTTCCCCATCCTTCAGTGTAAAACAGCGAGCTTCTCTTCTCTCCGCTTAGGTACAGTCTTCATACACACGGTTTGTCGTTGGTGCTCAGAGCCGTTAGCTTCCTAACTTGATTTCATACACGCGGTTTGTCGTTGGCGCCCAGAGCCGTTAGCTTCCTAATTTGATTTCATACACGCGGTTTGTCGTTGGCGCTCAGAGCCATTAGCTTCCTAACTTGATTTGAGGTGTTCTCTAACTGTTGGGAAATGTGACTGAACTGTACAGTTCAGTGTAGCATCTGGATCTGTTGTTCGGGGCAAATTCAGAGATTCTGTTCTCATTTATGTGTTTTGGGTTTTTTGTTTGTTGTTTGCTTGTTTTTGAGTAAAGCAAAATATTGGTGAGAAACAAAAAACAGTTTGTTTTGACAATGAAAATACCCGAAACAGCTTACCAAATAGTGGAAAGAAGCTGCCTCAATTATAATAGTGCTGGTTCACTCACTGCTCTAAAACAGAAACCAGTGGACTGGGCACAGGGAGAAGGCTCCTTGCTTACACCATCAGGATTTAGAAGAAGAAGGTTTTTAAGAGAAAAATGCTTGTTTTTAGATTTAGTAGTTGTGAAAATTGAAATTATTCTGACTTCTTAAAACTATACTTTTATTTAACATAAAAGAACTCATTGGCGAGTTCAGTGTATATAGTTTTTCTTGCTCAGAACTTGTTTTTAATTAGATCTAGGAAAGGTAGGACATAATGAGTTAGTTTGTATTTTGTTGGGTAACAGAAGAGTCTATTGCATTCTTGCAGTTTTGCCTTCTTCCATAGGTTATCTTTCTGGAGATACTTGGTGTGGTCCGTTGCTGTTTTATTTCCTCACTGTTATTTGGCAGCTGTTTTCCCACATCTGTGCTGACGCCTGCTCCACTGCTGCTCCTCCAGCGAGCTGATCCCAGCTAGGGGCTGCCTCTGCGCCTCCACAGAGCAGGCGCCTCTGCCGCTTCCTCGCCGAAGTAGGGAGGTACCGGGCTGTGGGTGCTAGCCCAGCCCGGGTCTGTGATGGAGAAGGGGAGTCTGTGTGCTCCTAGGCTGTGACAGCAGAAATCGCTGTGTCCTCTGGACATGATGGCAGACTCTCTGTTCTCTGCCAGTCACATGTGCTTCTCCGGGTCCCTTGAGGCATTTTCCTCCTGTAGCATATAGGAGGTGTGACCAGGAGAATGAAGGAGCTGAAAGCCAGATACAACACATCTTAGGACTTTGAAGTTGTCCTTAAGAATCTGAATGGTATGAAGGAGAGAGATTAAATCTGTACTGTTTGAAAAAGACAGACCTTGAAAAACAAAAAATTGGAAGTGGTCAGGTGGTGAGTTTCAGAAGAGCAGACATGCTTTTTGACAAGTAGTTACCTGAAAATGGCAGGCACTGTGGTGGGAGGTGGACTCTAGTTCCCCAGACCCTGGAGGTGTTCAGACACAGTGGACGTTACTTGGCAGAGGTGCAGCAGGAGAGTGAGAATAAGGTTTGTCCTAAATTTCAGCCTCAGATGCTGTAAATCAGCATTTAGGGGACCCCCGAGCTGGGGAGGGATTCTTAAGTCCAGGATGGGACGCGGAGGGAGTGGATGGCAAAGGGCCAGGACAAAAGGAGAGCTCGAAACCTGGTCCCCACGACTAGGCAGGTGGCCCGCCCTCTTGAGCCCCCAGCCCACCCCACCGAGAGGCTGGGGTTCACCTGCCACGGGCCAGGAGTGCAGGCGTGCCTGACCTTCATGGTGGCAGTTGGAACAGGGCTCAGGCAGGAGGTGGTCCAGGGTTTCGGGTTCCACATGCCAGGGTCCGACTGCTGGTGGCCACGAGCTGGTTCTTGGACTTGTTCTAGTAGAAGAGTCACGTCTGTCTGCTGTGTGAGTGTGTGGGATAACCTCCTCCTCTGAGGTGGTTCTGAAGGGTGGGGACAGCTGTGAGGTGGCACTGCGTGGCCTGGCCTGGTGTCTGTGCTCAGCCGTGCGTGTGTGGCATGTGCGTGGTGTCTGCTGACTGGCCATGTGTTGTGTGCGTGCACGTGCCATGTACGCGTGTGTTGTGTGCACTGTTGGCTGTGCACATGTCAAGTGCCGTGTGCGCGGTGTCTGTCAGCCGTGCATGTGTCCTGTGTACACATGTCTGTTGGCTGTGTGCCGCGTCCAGGCCATGCTGGGTGTGTCGTGTGCATGTGTCTCAGCTGTGCGTGTGTCATGTTGTATGTCAGCCATGCTGTGTGTGTGGCATGTGCGCGTGTCGTGTGTGCTATCAGCCGTGCGTGTTGAGTGTCGTGTGCAGCTGTGGGCTGTGTCATGTGTGTGTGTCTGCCGGCCATGCCATGTAAAGTGTCATGTGCATGTCAGCCATGCGTGTGTCGTCTCACGTGCACGTGTCGACCATTAGCGTGTCGTGTGCGCATGTGTTGTATGTCCGTCGGCCGTGGGCATGTGTGTGTTGGGCGCGTGTGTGTCGTGTGCGCATGTGTCGGCCGTCTGTGTCGTGTCTGTTGGCCACACGTGTGCATATGTCTGTTGGTCCTGTGCCTGTGCCGTGTGTGCGTGTCCATCAGCTATGTGTGTGTCGTGTGTGTGTCCTTGGCCTTGCGCATGTCTGTCGGCTGTGCGTGTGCTGGCCATGCAGGTGCACGTGTGCACGTCGGCCGTGTGCGTGCACATCGGTCGGCTGCACATGTGCGCGTCTTGTCCGTGCGCGTGTTGTGTGCGCGTGTGGCTGTGTGCCGTGTCTGGGCCGTGCCGTGTTGAGTGTCGTGTGCGTGTGTGTTGTGTGTGCGTGTCAAGTGTCGTGTGCGCGTGCATCTGTCAGCTGTGCTGTCTGTTGTGTGCCCGTCAGCCGTTCGAGTGTCGTGTGCACTGTCTCTGTCGGCCATGCCCCTGTGTTGTGTCCGCTGGCCGCGCGCATGCACGTGTCTGAGGGCCGTGCGCGTGTCCGTCGGGCGTGCGTCTGTCGTGTGTGCATATTCGTCAGTCGTGCATGTGTGCCGTGTGCGCATGTCCGTCGGCCGTGCGCGTGTGTTGTGTCTTGGCTGTGCGTGTCGCGTGCACGTGTCCGGCCGTGCGTGGGCGTCTGTAGGCCGCGTGCGTGCGCATGCGCGTGTGTGCCGGCCGCGCGGCGCATCCTCGGGTCGGTGCAAGGGCTGACGGGCCCCTGTCGTCAGTTGCAGGATGAGGAGCGGCGGCGGCAGCAGCAGCTGGAGGAGATGCGGACGCGGGAGGCGGAGGAGCGCGCGCGGCAGGAGGAGCAGCGGCGCCGGCAGGAGGACGAGAGGGTCAGGCGCGAGGCCGAAGACAAGGTCCTGGTCCTCTGAGGGCTGCGGCCCGAGCGCGGGCGGGACTGGGCGGCGGGCAGGGCCGCCCCCGCGCCGGCCTCCCGCCCGGCCAGTGGACCGGCCCCCACTGCCGGCCTCGGGGCTCGACCCTCTGGCCTGCGGACGTGGGGCCTGTGCAGCCACGCTGGGTGGCGTCCGGCCGGTGGCTGGGAAGTGGTCAGGTTGGGGTCAGGCCTGGGGAAGGTCAGGAGCCTAGGAGGACAAACAGGATCTAGAGTCGATTCTTATGTCAGTGACCTGATTCTGGCCAGTGGTGCACAGAAAACGCAGCACAGGGGGGCTTCCAACTCCCTTAGTGTGCCCACTCGAGTAGTTACTTGGCTCTAAGGGTCAGGGAACCCTTTTAATCGGTCTTAACGTGACCACACGTGACCTAATCTGAGAAGCGAGTGCAGAACCCCGCCTCTGGGTGCACCACCGGCCCTGGGCTCGCTGCCTGACCTAGGATCCAGGGACAGGGTAGGAGCGGTGCTGGCCGTCCCCATGGGCTCTTCTGTGCAGGCGGGAGAGCCCGGCCACGTGGGCTCCACGGGTGACAGCAAGCAGGGCGGGCCCTCCACCTCCCCGACCCCGGCCGCTTGGTGGGGCCTGGGCAGTCACGGTCTGGGCTTCGGGGGAGACCCCGTGCACTTCAGTGAGCCCCCGGAAGGAGGTGGGCCTCCACAGTCTGAGCCCCCAGCCCTGGGTCTGCGGAGTCTGAGCCCCCAGCCCTGGGTCTGCGGTGTCCACTTACCCTGCGCCTCCGGCCACCTGGAAGCAGCGCCATGGGGAGACAGCCAGGCCTGTTCTCCACCTGGGGAACCTCTCCGTCATTGGGTTTTTTTTGCAGTGCGCATTCTCACAGCTTGTGGTTATGTCAGATGCACTTGTGTTTGGGTACCTGTTTCCATGACTGAGTGCTCCATGCAAAAAGAAGCTGTTTTTTTTAATATATAGAATGTCCAAAATGGCTGGGCTTGCTCTGTCGTGGGAGGACCATGCACCTGTGGGGCAAAACGATGTCACATGGCTGTCTGTTCTTAACGTAACTGAAGGATGAGCCGTGGTCTCTCCCTGAAATGTCACCACGTGAGTGGTATTCGTGGGGCGCTAGGCCTCCCGCCAGCTCTGCTCAGAGTCCGTGGAGCTCGTTCGGTTGGAGCTCCTCTGTAAGGGACGCTCGTTCTGTGCGGAAATGAGATGAGAATGCTTCTCCTTCCGGATGGCTCAGCGCAGGGCGAGAAGGTCAGGGCTGCGACAAGGCTGGCGTGTGTGCTGGCACTCCCCCCCACCTCGCCCCGGAAGGCTCTGGCTATGTGTGTTCACTCTGTGTGTCTGTGTGCGTGGGGGGTGGGGGGGAGCCAAAGCGTGAAAGCGTGCACGGTGACGCAGGGACTGGAAGCTCTGCCCCTGGTGCCAGCAGCTCCCTGCCGGTGCGTGGGTTTAAAACTTGCAACCCGGAGCCCATCTCAGCTTAAGGCGGATCGTTCGTCTGGTCTTTCCACTCCTTTCTTCGCTTTTATTCTTGTTCTGAAACCATTGTCAATCTTTAACAAAGCTGTGCTGTTACCTTTTTCAATGTTAAATTAACGCTGTCAACTGTAGTTTGCGCAACTAGATGTATGTCAGAAGAAATGTACAGTATGTGTCAAAATACACTGGACTGTCCGCTGCCGTCGCTGTCGTGCCTGGCTTTCCGATTTCCTGTCTGGCAGGGAGACACAAACTAAGGCCTGGGGGACGCGTGTTCGCTGGTGGTCACCTTGGGAAGAGACAGTGTGGGTTTCCTATTAATTTCCCTTTGCGTCACTGGAACGAGCCAGGCAACTTAGGCCTGCCCTTCTTCCACGCGCTGCAGGGCGGGGCGGGGCGGGGGCTGGTCCTCCGCAGGTGCCAGTCAGAGCCTAGTTACCCTTCGGTTTTGTCTTTAAACTCAGGAGCGACAGGTAAGTGGAAATCCCACTGAAAGCAGGAGACGCGCCCCGGGTTCGTTCCTGCTTCCGCTTGGTTTTATGTCAGCGGCTCCACGTCCAGGCCCAGCTGCCCGCTGCCGTGGCAGTCGCTGGAGCTTGGGGGCACCCTGGGGTGGACCCTCCCTGCTGCCCACTGACCCGCCCTTTGTCTCCCGGCCACAGAGGCGGCAGGAGGACGGTTACTACAGCCGCCTGGAGGCTGAGCGCCGCCGCCAGCACGAGGAGGCCGAGCGCCGGCTGCTGGAGCCCGAGGAGCCGGGCCTGGGCCGCCCGCCACTCCCGCGTGGGTACGAGCCCGCCGGCCCGCCGCCGCCACCGCAGCGCACCGCCTCCTACCTGCAGACGCAGGCCCTCTCCCCGGATGCCCTCTACACCGCCAAGTTCGTGGCCTACAACGAAGAGGAGGACGAGGACGAGGAGCCGGCAGGTCAGGACAGGCCCTCTGGGCGGAGGGCGCGCCCAGCCTCCGACGGCATCTTCCTCTCCGGCCCATTCCGGCCACCCCCGCCCGGCACCAGCAGGACCGGGCCCAGGGCCGGCCCGCCCCCGCCCCCTCCCTCCAAACCTGGCCCTGCCCGACCCAGCCACTCCAGAGGTCGAGGTAAAGCCGGGGCGCCCCAGCCCCCCACCGCCCGACCCCGGGCACCCACACGCAGCGCGGCCCCTCTGATCAGAGCACTGGCTTTGGAATCCGGTTCCCGATCGCGGCGTGAGGGGTGATCTGCTCACCTGCGACCCTCCTGTCTGCTCCTCCAGCCCCCGTTTCTCTGCTCTGCGGGGGCTCTCAGCCCAGCTTGTCTGACACGCTGATTAAAAATTCTGAAAATTTTCAACAATTGATTTTTACCAGTGGAAACAAGCAAGTATTCCTCAATTAAAACTCAAAAGATGAAACACGTTTTTAAGGCAAATTGAAGAAAAAACGTAGACTCAAAATGGAAAGTTTTTCACTCTGCCAGTAATTTATCTAAAGGTCTAGAGCAGGTTACATTAGAGACATCTTTTTGTTTCATCTTTTGAGTCTTGGTAGAGGACCACTCCTGTGCCCTGGTTGTGGGTACCCCAGCCAACTCATGAGCAAGACGCAGTGCCGGGAGGGGTACTGGGAGGGGTGCCAGGCATGGCCGGGCTCCTCGATGCCCCCACACGGCCGTGGAAAAGATACCTCTTTATAAAGGGAGCAAAGAACATAGACTCATGGCTGCAGCCTGTGGAGAAGGGTCCTTTTAGCCCTGAGACCCTGTGGTCGTTTCCTGGCCTGTTGAGTCCAGTGTGCAGCACTGTCAGTGTTTCCTGAGTATTTCAGTGTGTGTTACCCTGGCCTTGGTTATAAGCAAAAGATTCCTCAAAGTGTAAGATCTTCTTGCTGACATTGCAGTTAATAGAAGCCACTGGTCCTGATTTCCTGCACTGTGGTCTTGACCGTCACACCGCTCGTGCACTCTCACTGTATGTTTGGCCGCGTTAGAGCTTCTCCAGGCGTCAGCTTTTTTGATCTTCGGCAGCGCTCTTCAGTATGTGGGCAGTTGGTCTCACTCGCCCAGTTACTGGCCGCTGACCCACAGCACTGGGCCCCAGGCCGGGTGTCTGACAGTCACCCTGTGCTGCCTCGGGTCTCCTTTTTGGTCAGTGATGTTGTGTCTGCGGCATTAGTATCAGACCTTTCGGGACCTCTTCTTTTTCCTTTTTTTCCAAATGTTTTAAGAATTATAGCCATTTATTTTGTGGGGAAAATTCAGTAACTGCTCTGAAAAGAGGACCATTTGCCCCCCATGATTGTTTAAGAAAGTTCTTAGTGTCAGGGGTGTCTGAAAAAATTCGCCATCTGTCAGTTTTTATTGTGTATTTGTATAGTTATACATTTTACCTGATTTGAACTTTCTAGCTATACTCCCTTAGACTTACGTTTCCCCTAATAGTAAGGCTGCAGGCCAGGTTCCCAGCACCTGCAAGGGCCATGATGGGGTTGCTCAGGCCACCCAGGGATGTGGTTTCCATTGAGTGTCTTCCACTGACTCGAAGAGCCTTTCGCTGCTGCTTTTTCAGGACGTAAGAGGTCCTGAGCACTGCATCTTCATCCTGAGTGTGGTTCTGGAAATAATGCAGGTACTTTAACCGTGACTTTTTCTTTTTACGGAAAAGGAGCAAACTCTTACGTGGGATCTGCTGGAGCAGTTTTTGGAGCCCATGATGTTCATCGGGATCCGAGAGAGAAACCGTCCAAGAGGTATTCACTGAAGCTGTGCCGTGCGGGTGTCTCGTCACTGAGGGCGCCTTTCTTTTCTCACTACCTTTTGTGAGGCTGGAATGAAATTTCAGAGACCTGGTTGTCAGCTCAGGCCTTGAGTTGTGTGAGCACAGAGGCTTTATTTACTTCATGTTGCTAATACGGTTCTGCCTCCAATGGTGTGCAGGGCCCCAGGGCTTCTGGCTGGGACCGTGGAAGGGGCTGGACGCGCTGCCCTCTGCGTCCACCACCGAGGAGCGAGACGCCCAGGGTAAAGGCCTGGTGTCCTGCTGGACCGTGCAAGGTCACCCCCCCCCCCCCCCGAGTTCAACAGACATTCTCAGCGAGGTGTAGACAGAACTACTGATGCCCAAAGTGTTCTTACATCTTTAAATCTTTAATATTTTGGTAACTTGTTATTACTGTCCGTTAGTATGTTGATAGAGGCTTCTCAGATGCAGGTAGGCTTCATTAAAGTGCTAGATTTTTAAAGTGAACTCTTCAGTTAAACTTAATTGCTAAGGATTGTGTGCTTGCTAACACTGATGTTACTACCTTTTTGAGAGTCGGGTGGGACTGGAGAAAGTGAACATTAAATGAAGAGAACACTGTGCCCTTTCCCACGTGGGTTTAAATACAGCCCCGGCAGGGTTATGAGGGAATTAAACAAAGAATGAGCCTTTCCCTTAGAAAGTCTGATTTAACCACGCTCACGTGAGCCGATCCACCTGCTGCCGGGTTGTTTCCACTCTGAAAGGTAACCCTGTACCTGTTCCTCCTGCAGCCACGAAGCAGACGTCCCTGGGGGGCCCGGAGCCCCTGAAAACCTGACATTCAGGGAGCGCCAGCGCCTTTTCTCCCAAGGCCACGACGTCTCCAATAAAGTCAAGGCCTCTCGCAAGCTAACAGAGCTGGAGAACGAGCTGAACACGAAGTGAGGACGGCCCTGTGTCCAGCACGGTCCCTTGGGGTGCTGGTGACGGCACAGCCTGAGGACCCCGGTCCCCAGGGAGCCTGCTTCTAGAAGGCTTGGCATGTGGAAGAGTTCTATCGCTAAGAAATTCCGCTTTACCTTACCAAGAGACTGTCATTTCTACAATCTAGACACTGTCTTCTTAGTGACCTGACTCCCAGGAAGGTAGCTTTCTGGTCAGTCTCTAGGGTCTGGGCTTGGAAAGGGGCAGAAGAAGATGCTGAGATGTGTCTTCACCCCCGTCTTCCCCCAAGGAGCACAAAGAAGTCCTGTTGCTGTTCTTTTTTAAAACTTGCTGTTCACTAATCAGAGTAGCTTGAACTCCCCAGACTGTCATTTGCACTCCTTAGCGGCAGCTGCAGCCTGCTGCGGGAGATGACTCTGGGGAGACTGCGCGGACGTGCCTGCATGCCAAGGAGTGCGGCCGGCCTGCCGTGCCCGCGGCTGGGAGGCGGGAGGACCTGAGCGGGACCGCTGCAGCGCCGTCCCCACGGGCAGCCCTCCGAATCAGCTCTAGTGTTTGATTGAAGCAAGTTTCTCCAAGAAGAAAATTTTGAGCTTAGGAAATTTTATTTTTTTAAATACCAGATGATTATTATGCCAGTAAGTCATTAGTGATTTTAAAGATGGCGCTTAAGTTAGAAGGTTAACTAAATGTTTCAAATATTCCAAGGGAATCTGTAAAGGAGGATGTCTACTAAACAGTGTTGACATGAATAGGAACAAAAGTACCGAAGAAGGACGAGCGCGCAGTAGGCGACACTCGGCACAGCTGTCGATCAGAAGAGAGCTGAGTTCACACCCATCTGCTGTCAGGGAAGGGAGGGTCCATGGCGTGTGGCGTCTGTAACTGAAATGCTGTAGGAAAGACTCGTGGCAGTTCAGGCTATTTTTTTACATTTGAATAGAGTTATTTAATTTTCATGTATTGAATTATTAGTTACCACTGTCACTTCTTCAGCTGTGAATATGAGGCTGGTGTTGGGGAGACGGACCTCACTTTGTTTTATATTATGTGATGTTAAAACAGTCAATGATTTTGTGATCATGAGCAGATTTTCTATTTGACAAGCCCTGCTGCAGCTCTAGATGACTTTACCGTATTGTTCTGTTAACAATAGGTGTGTTAGGAAGATACGCACACTTTCCAGGAGAGGGTGGGGGGCTGTCTGCCTTAGAAATCACTTTCCTCAGAGCTGTAAGATAAATCATTACAACGTGACTGTAAATATTTTCTGCGTCCGTCAGGGTTCATATCTGGAAGTGTGCTGCTCTGATTTCCCTCGTTAAGAGAGTAAGTGGTTCTAAGTGTTTATGAAGGATCTGCATGCTTGTGCCTCCCGACGTCTCGAGAACACTGGCAGCCTTACGGGGACTGAATCCACAGCCTATTTAAAGAAAAAGATACAGGTGAACTGTTATCCTGTTAATATATAGAAAAACAACAGACACACATGAGAACATGCAAATACATGTAAATATTTACATGCAGGGATATTTCTATGTGTGATTGTAAACCCGTTCCCGTGGATTTGGCGGTCCTTGGACTTTTAGGTCAAATGTGAATATGTGTAAAGTGCTTTTCATGACTGTGCGTTACTATGGAGAAGACATCAGACCTGCTGTAGTTTTCCATTTCTACTGTACTTCGTTTGCAGCCTATTTTTAATAAACTTCATATGTATTTAAGGGTATTCGCTATTATATTCACCAGTGTTCACAGACTCATTGGCAACAGAACCCCCCTTCCCATCTCCCCGTCCCGTCCACTGATCAGTCAGCCCACTGAGCATCACTGCTGTGACAGGCAGCGTCCCCGGACCCTGGGGATGCTCCCCCTCCTGATCACACAGACACACAAGCGGAGGGTTCGAGTCCCTTTGGCCGCTGCGTGAATGCTCAGCCTCCGAGTGTCTTAAGCGTCCCGTCTTCTGATCACCCCTTGTGTGAAGAGGGTGCCCGTGTGACATGCCTGAGGGCAGGGGCCGCCATTTGGGTGCCTGCGTGTCCAGCTGGGGGTGGGGTGGGCCGGCGAGCCCCTGCCCCAACAGGTTTCAAGAAAGACCTTCATGACGGAATAGGGGCCTCGGGGTTGTGGAGCTCACTCAGCGCCAGGTGTTCCCACACAAGCTGTGAGCATTCATGTTCGGCTCACTGTAATGCCCAGGAAGGGGGCAGACTTAGAGACTGCGTTGGCCTTGGTTCAGTCTCACCCGAGGCCGCGTTGCTCTTGTGGCAGGAATGACTGCCCGCGGGGTCTGTGCTGGGCACCCTTCCAGGGCAGCCACGGGGAAGGGGCTCCTCTCTGCATTGTGCGCGGAATGCTGGTCTCGGGGTTTTACACATTTAAGGAAATGCTGGGCCCCAGCAAAGCTGAGGTGGCGTGACTTGCCGGAGGGAACTAGGTACAAAAAGTGGCCAGTTTTCATGCCCGTGTACATGTAGTTCCTCCAAAGCCACCTCACCCCGAAAGATAGATGTGCTCACTCGCTCAGGCGTGTGCAACTCTGCAACCCCGTGGACTGCAGCCCGCTAGGCTCCTCTCTCCATGGGGATTCTCCAGGCAAGAACACTGGAGTGGGTTGCCATGCCCTCCTCCAGGAGGTCTTCCTGACCCAGGAATTGAACCACAGTCTTCTACATTGCAGGCAGATTCTTTCACCAGCTGAGCTACCCAGGGACATATCTGACTTGAAACTGGGATGTAAAAGCCAACTCCTTGCACAGTTTAGTCAACAAAGTCACCTTATAAATGCCTACTCTGTGAATCCTGTCCACCAGCTACTCCAAAGCAGACTGGGAGACAGGTGCGTGGTTCATAAATAAACCTAGAAACTGCATCTGGGTGAGCAGCATGTCCTGGGCACTTGGCAGGTTGACTACAAGCGCCCGCTGCAATCATGGAGCTGGCAGACAAGAAAACCGTCCTCCCTTTGGGAGAAAAGACTGCAGCAGGCAGAGGAGGACCGAGGCAAGGCTGCCGCCCTCCGAGCAGTGGGTCAGGGCACCCCAACCCCAGTGGGGACCTCGGGGTACGGGGGGGGACACAGCTTCCTCCTGGCTCTGGCCACCGTGGGGGAAGGGAGAGTGGACAGCGTCCACCAGGCGTTTGCCCACAGGGGGGTTTCCAGCGTGACCCACCAAGTGGGCCATGGGCTAATGATGGAGACGGGGGCACAGCTGAGGTCTTGGGGGGAACAGGGAGTCAGCGGGGGACCCGGCTGGGGGACCGTGAAAGCGAGGACCAGAGGGTCTTCAGTGTCCATGCGTCTTGTGTAGTTTAGGCCTCTGTTTTTCTGCTCTTGTAGAGCTTGTGTCTTATTCTTTATGGAGAATACAGGTAAAAATGGCCAAAAGCTAAAATGGTAACAATAGTTCCAGTGTTAAATTGGATTTTTATTTTATTTTTTAATTAATTAGTTTAAATCTTTTTTTTTTATATTGGAGTATAGTTGATGATACCACTTGAATAGCAGAAAGCAAAGAGGAACTGTAAGAGCCTCTTGATGAGAGTGAAAGAGGTGAGTGAGAAAGCCTAAAACTCAATATTAAAAAAACTAAGATCTTGGCATCTGGTCTCATCACTTCATGGCAAACAGAGAAACACTGGAAGCAGTGACAGATTTCTACTTGGGCTCTAAAATCCCTTTGAGGGTGACTGCAGCCATGAAATTAAAAGATGCTTCTTGGCAGGAAAGTGATGACAAACCTAGACAATGTATTAAAAATAGCAAAGACATCACTTTGACACCCAAGATCTGTATAGTCAAGGCTATAGTCTTCCGAGCAGTCATGCACGGATATGAGCGCTGGACCATAAAGAAGGCAGAGGCGGAAGAACTGATGTTTTCAGACTGGTGTTGGAGAAGACTCTTGAGACTCCCTTGGACAGCAAGATCAAACCAGAATTTAAGTTTTTAATTCAGAAATTAATTCTGAATATTCATTGGAAGGACTGATGCTGAAGCTGAAGCTCCAATACTTTGGCCACCGATGTGAAGAACTGACTCATTAAAGACCCTGAAGCTGGGAAAGACTGAAAGCCAGAGATGAAGGGGACGACAGGGTGAGGGTTGGATGGCATCACTGACTCGATGGACATGAGTTACAAGTTAGAGCAAATTCTGTGGGAGAGTGAAGGACAGGGAAGCCTGGCACGGCGCAGTTCCTGGGGTCGCAAAGCGTCGGGCACGACCCGGTGAACAAGCAAGCGTTGTGTTAGTTCCAGGTGTACCCCAGTGTGATTCAGTCACACAGACACAGGGTCCTGTTCTTTTTCAGATTCCTTTCTCATTCTAGAGTGCTGAGCAGAGTTCCCTGTGTTATCAGTAGGTGGTAGGTCCTTGTTAATGATCTGTTTTAAATATAGCCCGGTGGACACGGAATTTTTTTTTTTAATAGTATAAAACATTAACAAAAAGAAAAACACTAGCTTAACTGTGCGGCCAAAAGAATAGCCTGCACCACCCCCACCCGCAAACGTTTCTCTGCAGGAGGCTGGCTCCAAACACAAGGGCGGCCTCGGGGGCAGAGTGTCGACCAGGCTCCACCAGGAGCGCCAGATCTGGGAGGCGAGGCGTAGCTGGTGCTGGGCCATCTTGGTCGTGCCGATTCCCGTTGTTTAAGGACCGTCATTTGGGTAACTGAAGATAACTAAAGCGAAGTGCAAGTCGCTCAGTCGTGTCTGACTCTCTGCAACCCCATGGACTACACAGTCCACGGAATTCTCCAGGCCAGAATACTGGAGTGGGCAGCTTCTCTCTTCTCCAGGGGACCTTCCCGACCCAGGGATTGAACGGGGGTCTCCTGCATTGCGGGGGGATTCTTCACCAGCTGAGCCATCACAGACCATGAATACTGTCCCCAAACCCCCCAGACTGGATACAGGGTGATGTGTTTCTCTCCTGGTAGTGACAGCAGCTTAATTTGATCTTTGAAAACTCCCGCTGCGGCAGTTTCACCTCCTCCATCCCGGTCTCCTCTCAGGAAGGAGCCCTATCTCCTGCGGCAGCCAAAGGAACCATGGACCCCGTCCCCACCGATCAGAGCGGGGAGAGGGGCCTGTGGGTGGGGCCGGCCGGCGGCCCCGGGCAGGGCCTCCGTCTCGCGGTCACGCTCGCCGGGGCACCCGGCGTGGAGGGTGCAGATCCCAGCGGTGGCCAGCTCATCTCGGTCATGCGTGGAGACTTCCCTCGGGCCGGGACTCCCCCAAGCCGCGGGGGCAGCACTTGGCTCAGGAGCTGCCGCAGCCGCAGTGCGCAGGGCGCAGGACTGGAGGCAGCTCACCGCGCGGAAGGTGAGGGGCTGGGAGCCTTGTCCCCGCCGGCCCGGCCCGGAGCCTCTAGAGCGGTGTCCACCGGGCCCTAGGGCCGGAAGAGGCACCTCCGCGCTCCGTCGACGCGGCCGCGCGCCCGGCGGTCACTGCTTCCGGGCAGGTGTGGGCCGCGCGCCATGGAGCCCGAACCCCTCCTGCCCGGATCCCGCCCCCCCGGGCTGCCCCCCTCCCTCCCCCACCCACCCCCCGCCCGCATCCCCTTGGCGACCACCCAAGGCTCACAGGCCAGGGCGATGCCAGCGCGGGGCGGCCGTTGGGGAAGCTTCTGGGAGCTGCGGGCAAGGCAGCTGCAGCGTCAACTGCAGGTGAGGGACCCGGGACCCCAGGCCGCCTGCACCCCACCGCCCCTCAACTCAAGAGGCCGCGCAGCCCGGGGTGGTTTGGGCGGATCCGTGAGCTGGAAATGGCGGGCCCCACCATACCACCGGAGCTCCACGCCCGCCCGGTGCCAGCGCTGGGCATCCCCGCCTCCCCGCTCCCTGCCTTCCCCATCCCCACCCGCTCCGCGGCCTCACCGCACCCCTAAGGGTCTTTGTGTCCTCCCTCCAGGGACGCCTGTCTCCCTCCACGCCCCTCGCCCCACTTACTGTCTTCTGAGCCCTGGGCTAAATGTCAGAAGTCAGGCAAGAGGAGTAGGCTGTCTCAACTGCCCTCGGGGGATACGCAGTTGAGGAAGAGGAATATCGTTGTAGTTCAGTCGCTCAGTCGTGTCCGACTCTTTGAGACCCCGTGGACTACAGCACACCAGGCCTCCCTGTCCATCACCAACTCCCAGAGCTTGCTCAAACTCATGTCCATCAAGTCGGTGATGCCATCCAACCATCTCATCCTCTGTGGTCCCCTTCTCCTCCTGCCTTCAATCTTTCCCAGCATCAGGGTCTTTTCAAAATGAGTCAGTTCTTCACATCAGTGGGCCTAAGTAGTAGAGTGTCAGCTTCAGCATCAGTCCTTCCAGTGAATATTCAGGACTGATTTCCTTTAGGATGGACTGTTTGGATCTCTTTGCAGTCCAAGGAACTCTGAAGAGTCTTCTCCAACACCACAGTTCACAAGCATCAATTCTTCCGTGCTCAGCTTTCTTTATGGTCCAACTCTCACATCCATACATGACTACTAGAAAAATCATAGCTTTGACTAGACGGACCTCTGTCAGCAAAGTAATGTCTCTGCTTTTTAATATGCTGTCCCTTTTCTAAATCCATCTGGAAGTTCTCCGTTCACGTACTGTTGAAGCCTGGCTTGAAGAATTTTGAGCATTATTTTGCTGCCATGTGAGATGAGTGCAATTGTGTGGTAGTCTGAGCATTCTTTGGCATTGCCTTTCTTTGGGATTGGAATGAAAACTGACCTTTTCCAGTC